CTTCCACCGTGTCTCCTTGTTACTCCCCTTCCACCACCGTGTCTCCTTGTTACTCCCCTTCCACCGTGTCTCCTTGTTACTCCCCTTCCACCGTGTCTCCTTGTTACTCCCCTTCCACCGTGTCTCCTTGTTACTCCCCTTCCACCGTGTCTCCTTGTTACTCCCCTTCCACCGTGTCTCCTTGTTACTCCCCTTCCACCGTGTCTCCTTGTTACTCCCCTTCCACCGTGTCTCCTTGTTACTCCCCTTCCACCGTGTCTCCTTGTTACTCCCCTTCCACCGTGTCTCCTTGTTACTCCCCTTCCACCGTGTCTCCTTGTTACTCCCCTTCCACCGTGTCTCCTTGTTACTCCCCTTCCACCGTGTCTCCTTGTTACTCCCCTTCCACCGTGTCTCCTTGTTACTCCCCTTCCACCGTGTTCCTTGTTACTCCCCTTCCACCACCGTGTCTCCTTGTTACTCCCCTTCCACCACCGTGTCTCCTTGTTACTCCCCTTCCACCGTGTCTCCTTGTTACTCCCCTTCCACCGTGTCTCCTTGTTACTCCCCTTCCACCGTGTCTCCTTGTTACTCCCCTTCCACCGTGTCTCCTTGTTACTCCCCTTCCACCGTGTCTCCTTGTTACTCCCCTTCCACCGTGTCTCCTTGTTACTCCCCTTCCACCGTGTCTCCTTGTTACTCCCCTTCCACCGTGTCTCCTTGTTACTCCCCTTCCACCGTGTCTCCTTGTTACTCCCCTTCCACCGTGTCTCCTTGTTACTCCCCTTCCACCGTGTCTCCTTGTTACTCCCCTTCCACCGTGTCTCCTTGTTACTCCCCTTCCACCGTGTCTCCTTGTTACTCCCCTTCCACCGTGTCTCCTTGTTACTCCCCTTCCACCGTGTCTCCTTGTTACTCCCCTTCCACCGTGTCTCCTTGTTACTCCCCTTCCACCGTGTCTCCTTGTTACTCCCCTTCCACCGTGTCTCCTTGTTACTCCCCTTCCACCGTGTCTCCTTGTTACTCCCCTTCCACCGTGTCTCCTTGTTACTCCCCTTCCACCGTGTCTCCTTGTTACTCCCCTTCCACCGTGTCTCCTTGTTACTCCCCTTCCACCACCGTGTCTCCTTGTTACTCCCCTTCCACCGTGTCTCCTTGTTACTCCCCTTCCACCGTGTCTCCTTGTTACTCCCCTTCCACCGTGTCTCCTTGTTACTCCCCTTCCACCGTGTCTCCTTGTTACTCCCCTTCCACCGTGTCTCCTTGTTACTCCCCTTCCACCGTGTCTCCTTGTTACTCCCCTTCCACCGTGTCTCCTTGTTACTCCCCTTCCACCGTGTCTCCTTGTTACTCCCCTTCCACCGTGTCTCCTTGTTACTCCCCTTCCACCGTGTCTCCTTGTTACTCCCCTTCCACCGTGTCTCCTTGTTACTCCCCTTCCACCGTGTCTCCTTGTTACTCCCCTTCCACCGTGTCTCCTTGTTACTCCCCTTCCACCGTGTCTCCTTGTTACTCCCCTTCCACCGTGTCTCCTTGTTACTCCCCTTCCACCGTGTCTCCTTGTTACTCCCCTTCCACCGTGTCTCCTTGTTACTCCCCTTCCACCGTGTCTCCTTGTTACTCCCCTTCCACCGTGTCTCCTTGTTACTCCCCTTCCACCGTGTCTCCTTGTTACTCCCCTTCCACCGTGTCTCCTTGTTACTCCCCTTCCACCGTGTCTCCTTGTTACTCCCCTTCCACCGTGTCTCCTTGTTACTCCCCTTCCACCGTGTCTCCTTGTTACTCCCCTTCCACCGTGTCTCCTTGTTACTCCCCTTCCACCGTGTCTCCTTGTTACTCCCCTTCCACCGTGTCTCCTTGTTACTCCCCTTCCACCACCGTGTCTCCTTGTTACTCCCCTTCCACCGTGTCTCCTTGTTACTCCCCTTCCACCGTGTCTCCTTGTTACTCCCCTTCCACCGTGTCTCCTTGTTACTCCCCTTCCACCACCGTGTCTCCTTGTTACTCCCCTTCCACCGTGTCTCCTTGTTACTCCCCTTCCACCGTGTCTCCTTGTTACTCCCCTTCCCACCGTGTCTCCTTGTTACTCCCCTTCCACCGTGTCTCCTTGTTACTCCCCTTCCACCGTGTCTCCTTGTTACTCCCCTTCCACCGTGTCTCCTTGTTACTCCCCTTCCACCGTGTCTCCTTGTTACTCCCCTTCCACCGTGTCTCCTTGTTACTCCCCTTCCACCGTGTCTCCTTGTTACTCCCCTTCCACCGTGTCTCCTTGTTACTCCCCTTCCACCGTGTCTCCTTGTTACTCCCCTTCCACCGTGTCTCCTTGTTACTCCCCTTCCACCGTGTCTCCTTGTTACTCCCCTTCCACCGTGTCTCCTTGTTACTCCCCTTCCACCGTGTCTCCTTGTTACTCCCCTTCCACCGTGTCTCCTTGTTACTCCCCTTCCACCGTGTCTCCTTGTTACTCCCCTTCCACCGTGTCTCCTTGTTACTCCCCTTCCACCGTGTCTCCTTGTTACTCCCCTTCCACCGTGTCTCCTTGTTACTCCCCTTCCACCGTGTCTCCTTGTTACTCCCCTTCCACCGTGTCTCCTTGTTACTCCCCTTCCACCGTGTCTCCTTGTTACTCCCCTTCCACCGTGTCTCCTTGTTACTCCCCTTCCACCGTGTCTCCTTGTTACTCCCCTTCCACCGTGTCTCCTTGTTACTCCCCTTCCACCGTGTCTCCTTGTTACTCCCCTTCCACCGTGTCTCCTTGTTACTCCCCTTCCACCGTGTCTCCTTGTTACTCCCCTTCCACCGTGTCTCCTTGTTACTCCCCTTCCACCGTGTCTCCTTGTTACTCCCCTTCCACCGTGTCTCCTTGTTACTCCCCTTCCACCGTGTCTCCTTGTTACTCCCCTTCCACCGTGTCTCCTTGTTACTCCCCTTCCACCGTGTCTCCTTGTTACTCCCCTTCCACCGTGTCTCCTTGTTACTCCCCTTCCACCGTGTCTCCTTGTTACTCCCCTTCCACCGTGTCTCCTTGTTACTCCCCTTCCACCGTGTCTCCTTGTTACTCCCCTTCCACCGTGTCTCCTTGTTACTCCCCTTCCACCGTGTCTCCTTGTTACTCCCCTTCCACCGTGTCTCCTTGTTACTCCCCTTCCACCGTGTCTCCTTGTTACTCCCCTTCCACCGTGTCTCCTTGTTACTCCCCTTCCACCGTGTCTCCTGCTTACTCCCCTTCCACCGTGTCTCCTTGTTACTCCCCTTCCACCGTGTCTCCTTGTTACTCCCCTTCCACCGTGTCTCCTTGTTACTCCCCTTCCACCGTGTCTCCTTGTTACTCCCCTTCCACCGTGTCTCCTTGTTACTCCCCTTCCACCGTGTCTCCTTGTTACTCCCCTTCCACCGTGTCTCCTTGTTACTCCCCTTCCACCGTGTCTCCTTGTTACTCCCCTTCCACCGTGTCTCCTTGTTACTCCCCTTCCACCGTGTCTCCTTGTTACTCCCCTTCCACCGTGTCTCCTTGTTACTCCCCTTCCACCGTGTCTCCTTGTTACTCCCCTTCCACCGTGTCTCCTTGTTACTCCCCTTCCACCGTGTCTCCTTGTTACTCCCCTTCCACCGTGTCTCCTTGTTACTCCCCTTCCACCGTGTCTCCTTGTTACTCCCCTTCCACCGTGTCTCCTTGTTACTCCCCTTCCACCGTGTCTCCTTGTTACTCCCCTTCCACCGTGTCTCCTTGTTACTCCCCTTCCACCGTGTCTCCTTGTTACTCCCCTTCCACCGTGTCTCCTTGTTACTCCCCTTCCACCGTGTCTCCTGCTTACTCCCCTTCCACCGTGTCTCCTTGTTACTCCCCTTCCACCGTGTCTCCTTGTTACTCCCCTTCCACCGTGTCTCCTTGTTACTCCCCTTCCACCGTGTCTCCTTGTTACTCCCCTTCCCCCGTGTCTCCTTGTTACTCCCCTTCCACCGTGTCTCCTTGTTACTCCCCTTCCACCGTGTCTCCTTGTTACTCCCCTTCCACCGTGTCTCCTTGTTACTCCCCTTCCACCGTGTCTCCTTGTTACTCCCCTTCCACCGTGTCTCCTTGTTACTCCCCTTCCACCGTGTCTCCTTGTTACTCCCCTTCCACCGTGTCTCCTTGTTACTCCCCTTCCACCGTGTCTCCTTGTTACTCCCCTTCCACCGTGTCTCCTTGTTACTCCCCTTCCACCACCGTGTCTCCTTGTTACTCCCCTTCCACCGTGTCTCCTTGTTACTCCCCTTCCACCGTGTCTCCTTGTTACTCCCCTTCCACCGTGTCTCCTTGTTACTCCCCTTCCACCGTGTCTCCTTGTTACTCCCCTTCCACCGTGTCTCCTTGTTACTCCCCTTCCACCGTGTCTCCTTGTTACTCCCCTTCCACCGTGTCTCCTTGTTACTCCCCTTCCACCGTGTCTCCTTGTTACTCCCCTTCCACCGTGTCTCCTTGTTACTCCCCTTCCACCGTGTCTCCTTGTTACTCCCCTTCCGCCGTGTCTCCTTGTTACTCCCCTTCCGCCGTGTCTCCTTGTTACTCCCCTTCCACCGTGTCTCCTTGTTACTCCCCTTCCACCGTGTCTCCTTGTTACTCCCCTTCCACCGTGTCTCCTTGTTACTCCCCTTCCACCGTGTCTCCTTGTTACTCCCCTTCCACCGTGTCTCCTTGTTACTCCCCTTCCACCGTGTCTCCTTGTTACTCCCCTTCCACCGTGTCTCCTTGTTACTCCCCTTCCACCGTGTCTCCTTGTTACTCCCCTTCCACCGTGTCTCCTTGTTACTCCCCTTCCACCGTGTCTCCTTGTTACTCCCCTTCCACCGTGTCTCCTTGTTACTCCCCTTCCACCGTGTCTCCTGCACTCCCCTCAATGTCGCCCAACTCTATCTAAACCCCCGCCAGGTGCGAGCCTTCCCAATGACGGCCATGTTCCTCATGTGGCTCTGACTTCTATACTCTCCTTCTGTCTCGTTTCCCATTGCAATCCCCCTCGTTTCCTTCACTTCCCTGCCAGGTGCGAGCCTTCCCAATGACGGCCATGTTCCTCATGTGCTCGCTCTTCCTCGCCATCGCTGCTCTCCTGCAGCGCCGCCTGCTCCACCTCGCTCTCAGCGCCCTGCCCCAGGGTGAGTGCACACCACTCATACCTCGCTGTCTGGTTCAGTTGCTCTCATCCATCCACGCATGCTCTCATCGCACAACAACGCATGCACTCGTACGCACATGCACAGTCAGCCATGTGTGCTAATCCTCCCTGCGTGCTAATCCTGCCTGCGTGCTAATCCTCCCTGCGTGCTAATCCTCCCTGCGTGCTAATCCTCCCTGCGTGCTAATCCTCCCTGCGTGCTAATCCTCCCTGCGTGCTAATCCTCCCTGCGTGCTAATCCTCCCTGCGTGCTAATCCTCCCTGCGTGCTAATCCTCCCTGCGTGCTAATCCTCCCTGCGTGCTAATCCTCCCTGCGTGCTAATCCTCCCTGCGTGCTAATCCTCCCTGCGTGCTAATCCTGCCTGCGTGCTAATCCTCCCTGCGTGCTAATCCTCCCTGCGTGCTAATCCTCCCTGCGTGCTAATCCTCCCTGCGTGCTAATCCTCCCTGCGTGCTAATCCTCCCTGCGTGCTAATCCTCCCTGCGTGCTAATCCTCCCTGCGTGCTAATCCTCCCTGCGTGCTAATCCTCCCTGCGTGCTAATCCTCCCTGCGTGCTAATCCTCCCTGCGTGCTAATCCTCCCTGCGTGCTAATCCTCCCTGCGTGCTAATCCTCCCTGCGTGCTAATCCTCCCTGCGTGCTAATCCTCCCTGCGTGCTAATCCTCCCTGCGTGCTAATCCTCCCTGCGTGCTAATCCTCCCTGCGTGCTAATCCTCCCTGCGTGCTAATCCTCCCTGCGTGCTAATCCTCCCTGCGTGCTAATCCTCCCTGCGTGCTAATCCTCCCTGCGTGCTAATCCTCCCTGCGTGCTAATCCTCCCTGCGTGCTAATCCTCCCTGCGTGCTAATCCTCCCTGCGTGCTAATCCTCCCTGCGTGCTAATCCTCCCTGCGTGCTAATCCTCCCTGCGTGCTAATCCTCCCTGCGTGCTAATCCTCCCTGCGTGCTAATCCTCCCTGCGTGCTAATCCTCCCTGCGTGCTAATCCTCCCTGCGTGCTAATCCTCCCTGCGTGCTAATCCTCCCTGCGTGCTAATCCTCCCTGCGTGCTAATCCTCCCTGCGTGCTAATCCTCCCTGCGTGCTAATCCTCCCTGCGTGCTAATCCTCCCTGCGTGCTAATCCTCCCTGCGTGCTAATCCTCCCTGCAAGCTAATCCTCCCTGCAAGCTAATCCTCCCTGCAAGCTAATCCTCCCTGCAAGCTCCTCTTCCCCTCGTGCTCATCCTCCCTACGCTCTGCGTGTTCTTCCTCACTCCCCCCTATCCGCCCATCAGCCACAGCGAATCAGACCCCGAGTCCCATTGACTGGGAGCTCAAGGCACACAGCTCTGATGGGGAACCGCCTGGTCTGCTGCTGTGACTCTTCCAACATTCCTAGGGAGATTGGATGACACGAGCTTCTCTGATAGAAAAGAGCCTTGCTTTCAATAGAGACCTAATGCAGCGGCAGCTGCAGGTAAAATTGGTTCATGCTATGAGCTGAGTGGGCGTTGCTCTAACAAACACCGCACCACCCATTCGTGGTGATGCCTCATCTCCTGTAACAGGCCGTATCGATGGAACAATGTTCGGGATAAGTGGAGTGGAGTAGAGAGCTGGCTGAAGAGCACATCTGTCCAGGCTTGCTCCACATCATTCATTCACCATGCTTGCCCGAGTTGGAACCACCTGCTCGCTCGTCTACGGAACAGCTTCATGAAGAAACAGATTTTCATTGTTGGATTTAAATATGCTCTAAGCATGGCTCACAGCTACATCCTTATGACACAAGTGCTCTTGCACGCCCGGCCTGGCCTTGCCTCCTCTCCAGCCCTAGTGCTGTCGGGATTCTTCTAACACCTCTACCCATGCTCCCGCCTCCCGAGATTGAAGAAGTGTTTTGAGAACGTCTAAAAACACTTCTTCAATCGCCCGGCCTGGCCTTCCCTGCTCTCCAGCCCTCGTGCTGGCGGGATTCTTCTAACATCTCTACCCATGCTCCCGCCTCCCTCACCACCATCTCCTGCTGCCGCCCTGCTGCCCTGCTGCCCTCTTCCCAGAAATTCCCGCTTTCTGCCATCACAGGCAATATCAGCCCAATCCAGCAATCAGGCCCACATCCTCCTCTGTCAATCACCACTGCGCTTTCCACCACCGCCCCGCCCCCTCCCCCCCCTTCCCCCGCCGCCTCTTCCCCTTCCACCCCTTCCCCCGCCACCCCTTGCACCACTACCTCTTCCCCCAAAACCTCTCACCAAACCACCTCCCCCCACACCACCCCTTCTTCCGCCACCCCTCCCCCCACCACCACCCCTTCTGCCTCTCCCCCCTTCACGCCTCCCTTTCCCCTTGCGCTCGTCTCCTGCCGGTCCCCTTGCCGCACCACCTGCCCCTTCCTCCACAGCCCCACTCATCTCAGCTCCAGCAGTTGCCTTTGAAGCTTTGCGCTTCTTCTGCTTCTTCTGCAACCCCTCTTCCCCTCCTGATGTGTCTCCTGCATCCTCTGCTCCTCCTCCTCCTCCTCCTTCTCCTTCTTCCTCTCCTTCTTCCCGCCTTGCACCGGCTGCCGCCCGCTTCTTTCCCTTCATCTGCTCTCCAGGAAGCTTCTTCCCGCCGCCCGCTTTGGGCGGCGAAGTGTCACCGGTCCAACCATGGAGCGCCAGCACAGCAGATTCCGAGAGAACCGATTCGTGCAGATGCTTCAGATACAGCTCCCAGAACTCGACCCTGTGGGGAAGGAGGGGGGTGGAGAGGAGGAACGGGGGAGAGAGAGGGGGTGGGGGGAGGAAAGGGGGAGCCGGAGAGAACTGATTCGTGCAGATGCGTCAGATACCGCCCCCAGAACTCGACCCTGTATAGAGGGCGAGGGAAGGGAAAGGAAAGAGGGAAAAGTTAGACGAAGGGGTGAAGCAGAGAAGGGGTGAAGCAGAGAAGGGGTGAAGCAGAGAGGGAGGGGATGAGTAGCGCGAGGTGAGTTGTGAGTGGTGTGTCAAGACCAAAATCATGAGACGGATGTAGTCAAAGGTGCACAAGTCGGGACCATTTACAGAGAAAGAAGAAGGGCAGGGGGAAGGAAAGGGCGGCTGGAGAATGGGGGGTATGGGGCTTGGGGCATGGGCATGGGCATGAGCATGGGCATGGGCATGGGCATGGGCATGGGATTGGGGCATGTGGGAACGCGAGATAGGCTGGTAGGCTCACCGGACATCAGGCATGGAGAGGAGGGTGAAGGCCTTGGGCGATGGTAGCAGCAATCGAAATGAGGGATGGGGCATGGAGCATATGGCACAGAGAGTGAAGCTCACCGCACGTCAGGCATGGAGAGGAGGGTGAAGGCCTTGGGCGATGGTAGCAGCAATCGAAATGAGGGATGGGGCATGGAGCATATGGCACAGAGAGTGAAGCTCACCGCACGTCAGGCATGGAGAGGAGGGTGAAGGCCTTGGGCGAAGGTAGCAGCAATCGAAATGAGGGATGGGGCATGGAGCATATGGCACAGAGAGTGAAGCTCACCGCACGTCAGGCATGGAGAGGAGGGTGAAGGCCTTGGGCGATGGTAGCATGTCCAGCACCACCACACGGAGACAGGCAAGACGTAGGGCACCGGATGAGAGGAGCTTCAGCAGCCTGGTGGGTGCATTGGCGGGGAGGTGGGTGGGTGGTTAGAAGGGTGGGTGGGGCATGTGAGGGAGACAGGGGGGCAGAGGGGCGCTGGCAGCATGTCGAGCACCACCACTCGCAGCCAGGCGAGCCGAAGGGCACCGGAGGAAAGCAGTTTCAGCAGCCTGGATGGTGCATCGGTGGGGAGGTGGGTGGGAGGGTGGGTGCGGGCATGTGAGGAAGGTAGTGGCTTCACCAGCCTGGCTGCAGCAGCCTGGTTGGGGACTGTGAAGAGCAGGGAGTTGGAGGTCGCAGCTTCACACTCGCCTGTTGGGCGTGCCAGCAGCTTCACACTCGCCTGTTGGGCGTGCCAGCAGCTTCACACTCGCCTGTTGGGCGTGCCAGCAGCTTCACACTCGCCTGTTGGGCGTGCCAGCAGCTTCACACTCGCCTGTTGGGCGTGCCAGCAGCTTCACACTCGCCTGTTGGGCGTGCCAGCAGCTTCACACTCGCCTGTTGGGCGTGCCAGCAGCTTCACACTCGCCTGTTGGGCGTGCCAGCAGCCACCTGTTATGCACGGGTCCCTTCCCTTTAACATCTCCACCCGCTCCTCCACCTTGAGGTGCGTCTTGCTCACTGTGCATCACCCATAATTTACCATGCAAGCCTCTCAGCCCCAAAAGTTGTTGGGAGTGCCAGCGGCGATGTGCACGGGGCCTTTCAGCAGCTCCACCTGCTCCTCCACCTTGAGGTGCTTCTTGTTCACCGAGCATCATCGTCTCTTGATGATGAATCACCTCTCAACCGGGAATGGCTCACCTGTTGGGAGTACCAGCAGCGATGTGTGCGGGTCCCACGCCCTTCAAAGCATGCACTAGCCATGACCCTTGCACGCACCCGTTGGGAGTACCGGCTGCAATATGAACAGGCCCCTTCAACACCTCCACCTGCTCCTCCACCTTGAGGTGCTTCGCGAACAGCTTGGCCACGCGGCACCCACGCCCCACGCCCTTGCTCTGCCCCACGCCCTTGCTCTGCCCCACGCCCTTACACGCACGCACGCAAGCTTCAGGCGCTCACCTGTTGGGAGTGCCAGCAGCAATATGAACAGGCCCCTGCAGCACCTCTACTTGTTCCTCCACCTTGAGGTGTTTGGCGAACAGCTTGGCCACGCGGCACCCAGTCTTGACCGTGCAGCACGTCTCAACCCAGAATGACTCACCTGTTGGGGGTGCCAGCAGCGATGTGCACGGGCCCTTTCAGCATCTCAACTTGCTCCTCCACTTTCAGGTGTTTAGCGAACAGCTTGGCCACGCGGCAACCACGCCCCACGCCCTTGCACGCCCTCAGCAGGTCCACACACCGCACTGCCGATGCTGACACTATCAGCACCACCGGACTCCCCGCCTCCCACTCTGCGTCTCCCTCCTCTTCTTTCCCCCCCTGCTGCCCCTGCTGCCCCTGCTGCTGATTCTGCCCCTTTGGCTTCCGCCCTTGCCCCTTCTTTTGATCCTTGTCTGTTTCTTGCTTGTCGCCAGGTGGCAGCAGCAGCGACCGCCACGTGGCGCCGAGACTGCGCTTCAGGTGGTCGACAAGACTCGGCCCCACGTGGGCGGCGGCAGACTCGCTGCCGGCCTTACCTCCCCTCCCTGCTCCCCTGCCGCCCGCCCCTCTGCCGCCCGCTTGCCCGCCGCCCGGTCCCCTGCCGCCCGGTTGCGCACCTGGCGCCTGGGTGGTGGTGCTGGGGGCGGGCTGCTGCGGCGAGGAGGGTGAGTGGATGTTGTAGATCGCAATGGACGAGGCTGGAGGGGACAGGGGAGAGGTGAGAGGAGACAGGGGGGGGGGGGAGGGGGGGGGGGGGGGGAGAGGGGCAAATGTGATTGAATGTGGCAGAACGAGTGGGGCGATGCCTCTCTGCTGCGGGAGGGTGCGTGGATGTTGTAGATCGCAATCGACGAGGCTGCGCGGGGACAGGGGAGGAAGGGCGAGGGAGAGGAAGAGGATTGGAAGAATGAAAATGTTGGCAAACTTTGACCCAAATCTTGTTGTCGTAACTCCTTGGGCAGACCCCTCGCAACGCAGCTGGAATCACTCGCTCGCGCGCCATCGGCGACAGACACCTCGGGCAATTCGCCACTACCTGTGCTTGAACAACTTCGACCCATGCGCTCTTAAACCCTCAACCCCGACTAACCCCGGCTAACCCCTGCGGCAGGCACATCGCAGCGCACCTGGGATCACTCGTTCGCGCTCAACGGACGACATGCTTCTGCCGCAGTTCGCCACCACCTGCGCCTGAAACCACTCCGCCGCCGCCGCTGCTGCCGCCGTTCCCCCTCCACTACCGCTTCCGCGTTCTTTCCCCTGGGTGGCACTCCGCGCAGCGGCCGCCGCCGCTTCCGCGACCAGCTTGTGCGCCTTGATGCGCCTCTGGCTGGCGGCCTCCGCGTCTAGTTGCGGAAGCAGCTCGCGCGGGGAAAGCTCCGCGTCCGCTTCCACGAACCCGTGGGCATCATTGTCGTCTTGCGGAACTTCCCCCTCTTCCGCTTCCTCCTCTTCCGCATCTTCCCCCAATTCCGCATCTTCCGCCCCTGCTACCAATTTGTCCTCAGCTGCTGCGCTTGACATTTCCCCCTGTTGCTCCGCTTCCCCCTGTTCTCCCCCGTCCTCCTCCGCCTCATCCCGCTCATCCGTAAGCTTACCCTTCTCCCCCCCCTCTTCCTTATGCGCGCCCGCCTCACTCCCCTCACCCCTGGCCTTCCGCGCTCTCTTCTTCTTCCCTTCACCGGCCGACGCCGCGCCTCCCGCCGTGCTTACCGCTGTCGCAACGGTGCATATGTCCGCGCCGACACGTGGATCGCCTTCATTGGCTGGATCCGCTCTACGTTTCTTGCCGCTCGTCTTCTTCCCGTCCTTATCACCGTCCACCGTCATATTGGAGGCACTCTATGAGATTTCTCAAAATTTCCTCCACGCTACGATTCCACTCTGGAGTCTAAACTTTGGCGACAGGCCACGCGCTGTGTGCTAATGATGGGGCGAATTTGAAGGTCGCAGATTCTCTCGAGGTTGAGGGTTGGAGGTTGTGGGGTTTCTGGTGGTGAGGCGCGTGAAAGGCATAGGCCTTTGAGGTGGTACCTCGTTACAAATTTCCTCGCTGTGCCTGTATACCAGCATAGCATTTTAGCACCGGCTTGCAAACACGTGTCAATTCAAGCATCCAAAATACCCAGTCAAGCAGTGCTAAGCTACTGAAACCGGCATAAAGACACACTGTTGACTGGTCCCATTATTCAAAATACAATTCTTCAAAGCACAAATACTTTACAAGGTCCTTCCTACTCTGAATCTACACCTACAATACATAGAAAACATCACATACCAGATACAAACCATGCGTAAGATAAATGTAGATCAGGCTTCAGAATTTAAAACGTTCTCTCTAATCAATCATCCAAAATCGCCAAAGCGGCATCTACACTTGACGCTTCACCACCTGTTACACCTGCCTGAGTTGTGTCGGCAACAATCTCTTGATCTTCTTGTAATGACTCCAATATCTGCTCCACACTTGGTACACTTGCACCTGCTTTATCATCCGCCAAAGCAGCACCGGCATTGTCCGAGCCTCGGTTGCTCCCATCGTTGCTGCCTTGGCCGGGCCTGGCCAGGTCCGGGACGGAGGAGGCTCGGAAGAGTTCCTCATCAGGAATGGCAGCCGGCAAGTCCTGGAGTGCATAGGAAAGGAGTGGGAAGGGGGGACGCACATAATGGGGAGGTTAGGAGAAAGGGTTGTTCATGTAAGGTCAGTGAGGTTGGAGGCCAAGAGAAGGGGGAAAGGGTTGAATGGCGGGGCACAGAGAGAAGACTCCAATTTTTTTCTTAAGCTTAAAGGCAAGTGACGGAAAGTGAGAGGTTACCTCAAAGGAGGGGAGGATGGGAGCAGCGGAGTCGGCAGCGACAGCAGCGAGCATGTCGGCTGCAGGTGTGAGGGCGAGAGAGTCTGATGGGTGGAACGGCGCCAGGAGTAATGCTGGCTCCACCGAGTGACCCGGGAACTGTAAGAAGGGTAGAGTTGCAAGGGAGAGAAAGGTAAGGCAGGTGTGAGGGCGAGTGAGTCTGACGGGTGGAAGGGTGCACGCAGCAACACCGGCTCCACTCAGTGCCCGGGGAACTGTAGGAAGGGTAGAGTAGCAGCAAGGGTGAGACAGAATACGGCAGGCGTGAGGTTGAGAGGGTCTAAGGGGGTGGGAGGCTGGCAGCAGAAATGCCAGCTCCACTGAGAGCTCTGGCCCCCCTTTGAGGACCGGTAGTAGTTGGGAGGGCAATTGGAGAGGGGACAGGGAAGGGTAGGGAGTCAGCTATGCCTGATAGAAGTTTCAGACTACCAGTAACTTTTAGGGCTTGACAACTTGTACTGCACCCTCAGTACCCTCACGGTCTCACCCCCCAATACTCCTTCACATTCACATTCGCGTACACACGCACCGCAGTCACGAATGCAGCAGCTGACACCTCCCCCAGCTGCAACTATCATATGTCTGTAGCCAAAAGTGCACCCCAATGCTGCACCGCACAACACACTACTGCACCACACTCACCGCAGCTACAACTGCAGCAGCTATCTTCTCCCCCAGCTGCACCTGCACCTCCTCCTCTTTGCTGCTCGCCCCTGCCAGCTCAGCCGCCGCCCGCTCTGAGTCAGCAGGCGAGCCGAACGCACTCTGAGAGGTGGGCGGGCGGCGCTCTGAGAGCGTGCCGTCGGGATTGATGACGTGGAAGGGGTTGGCCTGGCGTGGGGGGCAGAGGGAGGGAGGGGGAGAGGTGGCGGAGAGGGAAGTGGGGGGAAAGTGGTGGCAGAGGGGAAAGAAGGGGGGGGAGTGGGGGTATTGGGAGACGGAAAGGGAGGGAGAGCATATGAGCGAGGGTATGGGGTTATGCATGGCAGCAGGCAGAACAGTCGATGAGATGCCAAGCAGGCACGCACACACACATGCTAGAGCAGGTGCGCTAGGGAACTAAAAGCAGCAGAGAGGGAAGCACAGGAAGACAAGTCAGACGTGCAAGAGCAGCCACCCACAGAGAAAACACCCACCAGAGCAGCCGACGAAGCCTCTTCAGACAGGACAAACGCCGCCACCTCCTCCATGCCCAGGCTGCCAGCCAGACCTGCAAGCATGGCAGTGGCTACAGTGAACACCGACCGCCGATCCACCGGCCCTATCGTCCACTCCGCCTCTCCCCCACCCCCTCCCCCCTCTTCTTCTACTTCCGCCCCTGCACCCCCTCCCCCTCTCCCATCTGCCCCTTGTGCTGCAACGGAAGGCAGAGAGAGGGCCTTTCGGCGGAGGGAGAGAGCGAGCTGGAAGGACTGGAGGAGCGAGGAGGACAGGGATTGCGAGGAGGGGGAGGCGGGGGAAGAGGGAGGGGGAGGTGGGGCGGAGAGGCAGGGCAGGAGGGCGTGGAAGGTGGAGGAGAGGGCACAGAGGGACTTGGGGGCGGTGGAGGGCATGGCTGCTTGCAGCCAGAGCGCGGATAGTAGCAGAGGGAGTTGGGACGGCGAGGGGGACAGAGGGGGCCGTTTAATGTCCTCTATGGAGGCCAGTGGATGAGCAGCAGAAGCACTGGTTGTGACAGCACTGGCTGCAATAACGAGGCCGTAGCAGTCCCTGTCATTTGGTGGGAAGGCTGCAGGGCCCCGGAGAAGCAGCTGCAGCAGGTGGTGGGCAGCGTCTCTTGTCTCGGAGTGCGGGTGCAGGAAGGCACGGAGGATGCTGAGGAGCGCAGCATCCGGGAAGCTTCCCTGTTTCATAAGTAGTGGAATTTGAGGAGGAAACAAATGACAAGGGGATCAGGGCTTAGGAAAACCACAGGAGGAGCAATGCGAGCAGAACAACCTTCAGACAAGCACAATGACTCACCAAGGTTCCAGACCCCTTCCTGTTCCCCTCCTCCCCCTCATCCCCTTCCCCCCCCTCCTCCCCCTCGTTTCTCTCCACGGCCACAGCCACGGGCAGCACGACAACGGCGGCAGCAGCCTCTGCAGCAACGAGTGTGGCCCAGGAGCCCCAGGGGTCGGACGGCAGGGACTCGAGGAACACTGCCGTGTCGTCCAGCAGCAGCGCTGCTCGGTCCTTTGGACTGCCCGCCTGGTGTGAGGGTAGGGGAGAGGGGAGGGGGAGGGGGGAGGAATTCACAAAGGTTGAGAGCGAGGAGGATGCATGCATGGGCCCAGGAGCCCCAGGGGTCGGACGGCAGAGACTCGAGGAACACTGCTGTGTCGTCCAGCAACAGCGCTGCTCGCTCCCTGGGACTGCCCGCCTGGTGGTTGGTTTGTGGGGAGGGAACAGGGAGACAGGGGAGTGAAAGGAGTGAAGGGGAGGGACGGCAGGGACTCGAGGAACACTGCAGTGTCGTCCAACAACAGTGCTGCTCGGTCCCTGGGACTGCCCGCCTGGTGGGGGGCGAAGGGGACGAGGCAGGGGTGCAGGGGGGGCAGGAGGGAAAGGGGGAGAGTGAGAGGGGCAGGTGAGCAGGGGGGAAGGGGGACATGGAGGCAGGGGGGCAAGTGGGGAGGAGGGCGGCGGAGAGTGAAGGGATTGAGAGATGTGAGAGAAAAAAAGAATCACTAGGGATTGGCGAGTAAGGAGGGTGCACATACAGACAAACAAGCCTTACTCACATGCAACGATGTCACGAGCACCAGCAGCTTCAGCGCCTGCTCCTGCAGAGCAGGCTGCTCGCCTTGTCTCCGTCTGAACGACACGCCACCCCCCACCTGCCCCTCCCCTATGATATTATCGTCCATGCCGCCCCCCTGTTTCTCCTCCACTATACTGCGCTTCAGTATCCGCAATAAGTCGCCCACAGCCTGCACCTCACTCGCTGCCTCCGGCCCTCCTCTCATGCTCACCGCCCCTCCCGCTCCCCCTGCGCTAATCTCCCTTTTCTCCTCCCCAATCCCAGGCCCTCCCCCTGCGCCCTGTCCCCCGGTTTCCTTCCCCCCGTCCGCCAGCAGCAGGTGCGCCATCTGCAGCCCCCCCGCGACAGCAAGGGCGTCGTGGCGCATGCGGGGGGAGCGCAGGGCGGGGGAGGAGTCCGCGTGGCGGATCACTGCTGCTAGCAGCGCCAGTAGGAGCCGCCGCTCCTCCTTGGTGGGCGAAGGAGAGCGAGTGGCTGGGAAGCGGGAGTCGGGGAGGGAGTAAGGGAGAGAGACAGAAAGAAGAAGAGAAGAAGGCTTAGTGGACGGGGAAGTACAGGGGGAGGGCGCGGGGAGTCCCCAAAAAAAATTGCCAGGAACACATGCACCCACCCAGGAAACGGAGAGTAGACATGTATCCTCTCACAACTGCCCTGACACCCCTCCCCTTGTGTACGACCCAAAAATATGACAAGTCTCTATGGTGAATACCTGCTAGTAACGCGACCACTCACCCAGGAACCGGAGAGCCAGACAGATATCCTCTAACAGCTGCCCTGCAACCCCTCCCCTGCCTGCCGCCCCCGCCTCCGCCCCTGCCCCCGCTGCTGCTGCTGCTGCTGCTGCTGCGTCGCCTTGGCTAGCAGGCGCGGCCCAGTGGGAACCGTTGGAGAGGTAGAGCAGCAGATGCGCCAGCACCTGCTGCGAGGAGAGGGACACCGCGGCTGCAAACATGTGCGCCAGCGCCCACACCGCCACCAGCGCCGCTACTTCTGGGTGCTGTAGCTCCTGCCTGGTGGGTGGGGGAAGGGATCGGGGGCAATGGGGAGTGAGTTAGAGTCCAAAGACTTGTATGAGGGGTGCAACCCAGTGGTTTTGAGGCGCCTCGAAGTCGGCCCAGTGGGAGCCGTTGGAGAGGTAGAGCAGCAGATGCGCCAGCACCTGCTGAGAGGAGAGAGGCACCGCGGCTGCAAACATGTGCGCGAGAGCCCATACCGCCACCAACGCTGCCACTTCTGGGTGCTGTAGCTCCTGCCTGGGAGGTGGGAGATGGGATGGGGGGCAATGGGGGAATAGAAAAAGATTTCGTTTTAAAACGAGAGCGTGAAGCTCAGAATAAAAGGGCGTGCGTGAGAGAGGTAGGAAGGCGAGGTGCTCTGAAATCAAGGAGTAAGGGATAGTACTGACTTGGAGGGCAGTGGAGTGACCAGCTTCCTCTCCTGATGCAGCTCCTCTTTCTCCTTGCCACCACCCCCTTGCTGTTGTTGCTGCTGCTGAAGAGTCAGCTTCTTGAGAGCCTCGTGCGTCCTCTCCCGCACCTTCTCCGCTGCTGCTGCCCCCTCGTCCCCGGCGCCTGCTGCGTGCGGCTTGTAGTTGTCCAGCACGGCCGCCAGCAGCTGCAGGGGCACGGGCGAAGAGGGAAAAGGGGGGGATGGGAATGAAGATTTGGGCCTGCCCTGTACCTGCATATGCTGCTGCGTGCAGCTTGTGGGGTTGGAGGAATGGCGATCTGCCCTGGTCACGGCACAGGACCGAAAGGAAGATAAATGAGAGAGGGGGGGGGGTAAAGGAGGGAGGCTGGTGGGAGGTTACTTGGTTAAGGCACGAAAACGATAGACGGGGATGGAAAGGACTGGGAAGGAGTGAGAGGGACACGGACGAAGAAGGGGAAAGGGGGTGGTGGGAGGTTACCTGGTCAAGGCAGTCGCAGGGCTGGGAGAAGTAAGAGACGAAGAGGATCTGTATTGGTCGGGGGGGAAGAGGGGTGAGGGGAGAGGGGCGTCACGCAGCAAGGAATCAGGTGAGGCAACGCCGAGGGCATGACACGTTGCATGCCGTAATAAGCACGTGGCAAGCGGAGCATGACACGGGGTGAATCGCAGGAGGAACGCAATGCAGCTCAACGGGTCTTTGTGCACAGTGTACTAACCACAGCGGCGATAGCTCTTAACGCGGACGACCTGGCGGCCCGGGAGTCTTCCTGCGAGCCGGCCTCGTGCGCCATGGCGACGAGCGTAGGGCAGAGCTTCTGAATGGGCGCGGCGTACGCGGCATCCGACTGGCAGTCCACGAAATCCGCGAGCAGGTCGCAGCCCAGCACCCGCACGTCCACTCGCTTGCTCTGCAGCAGCTTCTGCACCACGCTCAGCACGCTCCACGCCAGCAGCGCGCTGTCGACAACGAAGAAAGAGCCAACAGGGGGGAGGTTTAGAGGCAGGGAGAAGGAGAGAGTGGGGAGACGGTGAGGAAACGTAGGAAATCAACGCCGGGATGCGAGTGACGTGAGGTTGTTTGCTGTGGGTTGGGGATGGGGGAAGTAATGGCAGAAGGCCAGGCCAGGGGGTGTCATTCGATGCAGAGAGGTGGTAAGTGAATATGCACTCACAGGGAGCTCTGACACGAGGAGAGCAGTTTCGAGTACGACCGAGCCACGGCGGGTAGCGAGTTGAACCGCTCGGCGCGCAGCTCTCGAATGGCTCGCTCCTCCAGCTTCGCCACGATCTTCGGAATGCGGTCCGGGTTTCCCGCCGCGTAATCCGCGAGCTTTCCTATCTGCTTCTCGTCAACGTTTCCTTTCTGGTCGAAGACAAACGGAACAGCCGGGAGACGCGGAGAGGTGGAACTGGAATGCAGGATGAGACGCGAACAAGGGAGCAAGAGTTCTACAACGAAAGTGGTGCTTCTGTACCATTGAGGTTGGTCATCGCTAGAACTACATTCAGTGGGGTCTAAGACGTACATCTGACGCTGAGAAAATCGCGGCGAGGTACTGCTTGTAGCGCTTCATGGGTTTGCGAGAGCGCGAGCGCATCTGCGGACAGGGAAAGCAGAAGACGTCCGCGCACAGCGGCACTACTCGCCGCGAAAGGACCCCCATCTTGCTTCGAGCCCTGAGCGACGAATTACTTCGGAGATTTACTCAATCCTGAGCCTTTAACCTGAGCTGCAGATTGAGTTCTTGAAAAGAGCCGGAATCGACGGTGGAAGTGTTAAAACCAATCTTCACATAAATATTTGCCGAACGCTCTAGCAGTTTTCCGAACTAATTAGGTTGATGCCGTCGTAGCTTGCTTCTGTCTAGGCTGAAGACATAACACAAGAACTACGTTGAGAAGACTGGTGCGTGGAGGAGTGTCTTGTTCTTGGGAATGCAATTCATCAGGTGCTTGTGGCATGAACGGAATCGTGACCCTCAGGAATATCCGTGGGTGCTTGCTTTGCGTGGTTGAGTTCGGTTTGTTCTGGTCAGGCTGGAGAAGTTTGGGTTGAAAGGAACGCGCCTTGGGAATGCCCATTCACAGGTCCCACACGGTCAAACCAGCCATAGCTGGGTGTTTCCGTGCCATGCCAAGCGCGCGGGGGTAAGTGGGGAGGGGACGGAAAATGGTGGGCGGAGGGTGCAAGTCTCGAGGTCCGCCAACGCAGCGCTGCCACGTTTCCCACTGATGCTGGGTCCGCATATGGAGCTCAGGCCAGCTGCACCGCGAGATGGGACCGAGCCCCACCCAAGTGGTGGCGGAAATCCCTAACGGTTGATTCGTGAGCGATGCTACAGTACTTCACCATGTTACGCAATTTCACATTCACTGACTTTCAGTGAAAACATATCACTTCTAGTAGGTTCACATTCCCTGCATAACCATATGGTATTTCAAACCCTCTTATCCTCTTTGGAAGTCTCAAACCATAGCACTTTAATTGGCAAACCACGTCTACTAATACATCACACCGTGCTGCAGCCATTTGAGAAAACAAAATCTAGATCAAGAAGCCCCTCCTGTGGCTAAATTTGCTGCTGGAGATGGTTGTTGTGGAACTTCCACCTGCCCATTGACATCAACACCACCATTCCCTAACTGCATCTGCGCCTGTGACTGGGCTGCTGCCAATTGCTCCCTCAGAGCAACCACTTGTCGCTGCACATTACAGCAGTACACAGAATGAGTGTCAAAACATGGAGCAATCAGACATGCTAAGGCAATGCATACGTAAGCGAAACACCAACCAGCACCATCTTTACTGTACCTGGAGCACGCAGAGAATGCCAACGCAGCCATAGACTGGATCCTGCACCCGGGCCTGTGCCTCATACTCTAGACTCGCCACTGCATCCTCCCTCTGGTGTAAGGGCAGTTCCTGATGCATGGTGCAGTCACGGCCACAGGGCATGAACACAAGGGAGAAAAGAGCAATGGGAAACTGCAAATCAGTTGTGTTGATAAGATGGGAAATTGGGCTTAGGTACAATGCGGCATGCCAAGTACAGAACATCCAACAGTCGGATAAGGAATTGTCAGGGGAATGATGAGAGTAGGGCGAGACAGGCCATGAGACCATGAGAGAAGGTGAGGGTATTCAGTTGGGCTCACCTGCAGCATCTTGGACACGTTACTGGCTCCGAACACCTTGTGCACGCGCGCAAACTTCTCAGGATCGTCACGGGGAAAGTAGGGCAGGAAGATGCACTCGCGCGTGCACTTCCGCCGCAGCGACTTGCACGCCGCGCACGGCGGGTCGTGCATTGACCCTGCGACCCCTGGCGACGCTGCGACTCCTCCTGGCGACGGTCCTACTCCACCCAGCGACGCACCTACTCCGCCTGGCGACGCTGCGACGGCTCCGGGAGTACCCGTAGCGGGAGATGGGGAGGGACTGGGCGCAACAGTAAGCGGAGATGCCTGCACAACCGTGACCGCAGACGCGTGCGCAGCAGCGGAGGCGGGGGAGGGGGAGTGCGGTTGGTGCGCGCGGACAGGGGTAGATTGAGACGCGTCGGCAAAATGCGCGCGGACAGGGGTAGAGGCAGCGGAGACAGGTTGGGAGCCGCCATGCGTTAGCTCCAGCGCGACTGACGGAGCGCTGGGGGGAGCCATGGCGGTAGTCAAGGGCGAACCACCGATCCCGTTGTTTCCAGAAACCGGGCCGACTGCATGCGACGCGGTGACCGGCGTGTTGAATGGTTGATGAGGGGACGCGTACGGTTGCTGCGGGGAGGTGAATTGCTGGGGTGCGCCGTACGCTTGCTGCGGAGAGGCGTACGCTTGTTGCGCGGAATACTGCGCCTGGGCTTGACCAGGGGAAGGAGACGGCGATGATTGCGGCGGTTGCTGCTCGTGGCCGTCTGTGGGAGTAGGGAAGCCGTTGTAGCCTTTGTGCCGCTTGCTGGGTGTGTGCACGTCGTCGCGCGTGGAGTCCATCGGTTTCAGGATCTCTAAGACGGCGTACGATGCGAATTCTGTAGACTAGGAAACGGCTGTCGGACAGGCCAAGTTATTCTGCTACTGTTGTTTAACACCGATGTTGTTCAGGCCAACGATACGCACAGCAGGACAAGAGATCCTCTTTGACTTGACTTCTGGAATATACAAAAATTCTGCTTAGGAAGGTTGTTTGCGAAACAATGCCTGCTCCTAGACCCCGCTGAATCTTCCAAAAGAAAAGCTGACGAGCCGTGAGAAAAAAAGGTACAAGCGTCGAACGTTCCGTAGTACGAAATTCGGCTGGACTCGCAAAAAATAAAGGATGATCCGAGGTTTACACGTGCGACGCGAAGCGTGGGTGGGAGATTACGGAAGCAGCCGACCTCACTAACAAAGAGGACGGCACGGAGTACAAGGCTGGACTGAACTACCCTAGGGTGTCTTCTCAAAAGCACCATCAGCCTAGTGAGGCGGGTTTGCTGTGAGTTTTCCATGCGCAAGTTCCGCAGCCTTCGGCGGGGTTGACGGTGTTGAGGTGGCGGAGAATGAAGTGAAGCAGGGGGGGTGGAGCGAAGGGGAGCGGAGAAGATGGAAGTGGGGAGGGAGTACGAGGGGAGGGGGGAGCGAGACGAGAAACAATGACGGGGAGGGGGGGTTCTGTTCGCAGCAGCTGTACGTGGATTTGTTGGAAGAACAAACGATTCGTGGGGAGAATGACTGGCGGAACTACAGGGGAACAAGAGGGTTTGCTATGCCAAACGGAGCGGCAATCGAGAAGAAATTGGGATCAGCAGGGGCAAAATGCGGAGCTTCGGGGAATTTCCAAGGACATAGTTGCGCGACACGCTGGATTGTGTTGTGGTGTTGCGGGGATGGTGCACGCACAAAGTGCCGCGTGAAGCGCCCATTGCCTCGGCGGGCCCGCCGCCGTGGCGAGCGGACTTCCGTGCCAAGACCAGCTTTCCGCCGTTCGATATTGGCCTCGACGGCACCGATTGAAACATTTGTGAAAGTCAAGCCTCATTGGCTTGTGGTTGAGGAAAAAAAATCTCTAAGCTCTACAATCCAGTTCGATTGGTAAATCGACTACATACATAGACATACATAGCTTCTCTCCATAGGTGCTAGTATACAAAATTGAGAAGTGACCTAGTTTTCAGCAAACCACCTGGCCACTGCATCTCTTAGCACCAAGCCATTTGGGTTTGCTTCTGACCAATTGGAATATGCCAATGCGCAATGGCTTGTTCCATTAGATATCCACGAACGGAATGGGACGTTTGCTGCTGCCTTGACTTGTAGGAGGGATGATATTGAGCTCCGAAACATGCTTCCATGAAGTGTGATGAACTTCAGGACGCTTGCTGGGCAAGACGAGAAGCCATTTGAGCTGAGGCATGTCGTTGCTGATTGTGTAAGAGCACCCCCAGGGATTTTGCCACGGGCCAAGGACATGTATAGTGCGGTCAAATCAAACACGCTGTTGACAACAAGTGTGGGTTTCTTACTGTACTCCAGTGCAGTACGGGGCATGATGCACTTCCATGTGCCATTCCCCGTGTTGGCTGCAGTAGGGGGACAGGAAAACAATGAACACACTCGTATCAGCTTTATGTGTAGAACGAAACAACAAAACGGAAAGTAAGAAAGGTGTGAACGAAACAGGATTATACATTAAGAAAGCATTCTCTGTACCTTTTAGGCACTCAGTGTTGAGAGATCGATCGGACTAATGGGAGGCAATCATGCGCTGCATATAGGATCGGAATGTGAACTGCCCTGTGATGTCCGCCTCATCTGAAGGCAGTGGGCGAGAGACGGATGAGTCATAAGAGGCGGGGCAAGGAGGTAATAGAAGGGTACACAGCCTCAATGGGCAAACCACCCTGCTATGTCACCCTTTGTATCAAACAGCAGCATAGGGATGAGAAGGGTAGCATGACAGGGAGGAAGGGCACGCTCGAAAGCAGCAGGGCAAAGCAACCACAAGAATGCCACAAAGACACCTCTAAGCAGCGAACCAACGGTGGCAACATCGAGGCAGCATACAAGGCGGGGTCATACCCAGAAAGAAGGACGCATCAGTAGCGCACTTGGCTTTAGCGGAGCGTGGCAGAAACGAGGCCATCCAGTCACACCCCACTGCGACAGCCTGCCCTCCCGCTGAACACCCGGCGATGAGAGCCGATGCTGCTGTTCCCATGCCCCTCTGCTGCTGCAGGTCAATCAGAGTGTTCTTGAGAATGTGGTGGCCTGAGAGGAAGACTCTCTTAGAGCCCTGCTGCATGCGGCCTTTGTACCCCATATAAGCGCCTCCGTCGCAGTACATGACGACTGCCATGTTCCAGTTGTGGAAAAAGGGGTTGTTGGCTGCGTTGCCGCTGAGTATGCCTGTGAAGCTCATGCGGTAACCTGCCATCTGACATGGTGGGAAGGAGAAAAGAGAGTGGGGAGATGCAAGTTAGAACACGAGGCGAAGTAAAGGTGCGTGGGAGTGGGAATGTGGAAGGGAATGTATGAGGCATGGGGCTGATGAAAGAAGCATTAGAAGGAAGCAGGAACACGCGCATGCGAACACGCGCATGCGAACACGCGCATGCGAACACGAGCATGCGAACACGCGCATGCGAACACGCGCATGCGAACACGCGCATGCGAACACGAGCATGCGAACACGCGCATGCGAACACGAGCATGCGAACACGAGCATGCGAACACGAGCATGCGAACACGAGCATGCGAACACGAGCATGCGAACACGAGCATGCGAACACGCGCATGCGAACACGAGCATGCGAACACGAGCATGCGAACACGAGCATGCGAACACGAGCATGCGAACACGCGCATGCGAACACGCGCATGCGAACACGCGCATGCGAACACGAGCATGCGAACACGCGCATGCGAACACGCGCATGCGAACACGCGCATGCGAACACGCGCATGCGAACACGCGCATGCGAACACGCGCATGCGAACACGCGCATGCGAACACGCGCATGCGAACACGCGCATGCGAACACGCGCATGCGAACACGCGCATGCGAACACGCGCATGCGAACACGCGCATGCGAACACGCGCATGCGAACACGCGCATGCGAACACGCGCATGCGAACACGCGCATGCGAACACGCGCATGCGAACACGCGCATGCGAACACGCGCATGCGAACACGCGCATGCGAACACGCGCATGCGAACACGCGCATGCGAACACGCGCATGCGAACACGCGCATGCGAACACGCGCATGCGAACACGCGCATGCGAACACGCGCATGCGAACACGAGCATGCGAACACGCGCATGCGAACACGCGCATGCGAACACGCGCATGCGAACACGAGCATGCGAACACGCGCATGCGAACACGAGCATGCGAACACGAGCATGCGAACACGAGCATGCGAACACGAGCATGCGAACACGAGCATGCGAACACGAGCATGCGAACACGCGCATGCGAACACGAGCATGCGAACACGAGCATGCGAACACGAGCATGCGAACACGAGCATGCGAACACGCGCATGCGAACACGCGCATGCGAACACGCGCATGCGAACACGAGCATGCGAACACGCGCATGCGAACACGCGCATGCGAACACGCGCATGCGAACACGAGCATGCGAACACGCGCATGCGAACACGAGCATGCGAACACGAGCATGCGAACACGAGCATGCGAACACGAGCATGCGAACACGAGCATGCGAACACGCGCATGCGAACACGAGCATGCGAACACGAGCATGCGAACACGAGCATGCGAACACGAGCATGCGAACACGCGCATGCGAACACGAGCATGCGAACACGAGCATGCGAACACGAGCATGCGAACACGCGCATGCGAACACGCGCATGCGAACACGCGCATGCGAACACGAGCATGCGAACACGCGCATGCGAACACGCGCATGCGAACACGCGCATGCGAACACGCGCATGCGAACACGAGCATGCGAACACGCGCATGCGAACACGAGCATGCGAACACGCGCATGCGAACACGCGCATGCGAACACGCGCATGCGAACACGCGCATGCGAACACGCGCATGCGAACACGCGCATGCGAACACGCGCATGCGAACACGCGCATGCGAACACGCGCATGCGAACACGCGCATGCGAACACGCGCATGCGAACACGCGCATGCGAACACGCGCATGCGAACACGCGCATGCGAACACGCGCATGCGAACACGCGCATGCGAACACGCGCATGCGAACACGAGCATGCGAACACGCGCATGCGAACACGAGCATGCGAACACGAGCATGCGAACACGAGCATGCGAACACGAGCATGCGAACACGAGCATGCGAACACGAGCATGCGAACACGCGCATGCGAACACGAGCATGCGAACACGAGCATGCGAACACGAGCATGCGAACACGAGCATGCGAACACGAGCATGCGAACACGAGCATGCGAACACGAGCATGCGAACACGCGCATGCGAACACGAGCATGCGAACACGAGCATGCGAACACGAGCATGCGAACACGAGCATGCGAACACGCGCATGCGAACACGAGCATGCGAACACGAGCATGCGAACACGAGCATGCGAACACGCGCATGCGAACACGCGCATGCGAACACGCGCATGCGAACACGAGCATGCGAACACGCGCATGCGAACACGCGCATGCGAACACGCGCATGCGAACACGCGCATGCGAACACGAGCATGCGAACACGCGCATGCGAACACGAGCATGCGAACACGCGCATGCGAACACGCGCATGCGAACACGCGCATGCGAACACGAGCATGCGAACACGCGCATGCGAACACGCGCATGCGAACACGAGCATGCGAACACGCGCATGCGAACACGCGCATGCGAACACGAGCATGCGAACACGCGCATGCGAACACGCGCATGCGAACACGCGCATGCGAACACGAGCATGCGAACACGCGCATGCGAACACGAGCATGCGAACACGAGCATGCGAACACGAGCATGCGAACACGCGCATGCGAACACGCGCATGCGAACACGAGCATGCGAACACGCGCATGCGAACACGAGCATGCGAACACGAGCATGCGAACACGAGCATGCGAACACGAGCATGCGAACACGAGCATGCGAACACGCGCATGCGAACACGCGCATGCGAACACGCGCATGCGAACACGCGCATGCGAACACGCGCATGCGAACACGAGCATGCGAACACGAGCATGCGAACACGAGCATGCGAACACGCGCATGCGAACACGCGCATGCGAACACGAGCATGCGAACACGCGCATGCGAACACGAGCATGCGAACACGAGCATGCGAACACGAGCATGCGAACACGAGCATGCGAACACGCGCATGCGAACACGCGCATGCGAACACGCGCATGCGAACACGCGCATGCGAACACGCGCATGCGAACACGCGCATGCGAACACGCGCATGCGAACACGAGCATGCGAACACGCGCATGCGAACACGAGCATGCGAACACGAGCATGCGAACACGAGCATGCGAACACGCGCATGCGAACACGCGCATGCGAACACGAGCATGCGAACACGCGCATGCGAACACGAGCATGCGAACACGAGCATGCGAACACGAGCATGCGAACACGCGCATGCGAACACGCGCATGCGAACACGCGCATGCGAACACGCGCATGCGAACACGCGCATGCGAACACGCGCATGCGAACACGCGCATGCGAACACGAGCATGCGAACACGCGCATGCGAACACGCGCATGCGAACACGCGCATGCGAACACGCGCATGCGAACACGCGCATGCGAACACGAGCATGCGAACACGCGCATGCGAACACGCGCATGCGAACACGCGCATGCGAACACGCGCATGCGAACACGAGCATGCGAACACGCGCATGCGAACACGCGCATGCGAACACGCGCATGCGAACACGCGCATGCGAACACGAGCATGCGAACACGCGCATGCGAACACGAGCATGCGAACACGAGCATGCGAACACGAGCATGCGAACACGCGCATGCGAACACGCGCATGCGAACACGAGCATGCGAACACGCGCATGCGAACACGCGCATGCGAACACGCGCATGCGAACACGCGCATGCGAACACGAGCATGCGAACACGCGCATGCGAACACGAGCATGCGAACACGCGCATGCGAACACGAGCATGCGAACACGAGCATGCGAACACGAGCATGCGAACACGCGCATGCGAACACGCGCATGCGAACACGCGCATGCGAACACGCGCATGCGAACACGAGCATGCGAACACGCGCATGCGAACACGAGCATGCGAACACGAGCATGCGAACACGAGCATGCGAACACGCGCATGCGAACACGAGCATGCGAACACGAGCATGCGAACACGCGCATGCGAACACGCGCATGCGAACACGAGCATGCGAACACGCGCATGCGAACACGCGCATGCGAACACGCGCATGCGAACACGCGCATGCGAACACGAGCATGCGAACACGCGCATGCGAACACGCGCATGCGAACACGCGCATGCGAACACGCGCATGCGAACACGCGCATGCGAACACGCGCATGCGAACACGCGCATGCGAACACGCGCATGCGAACACGAGCATGCGAACACGAGCATGCGAACACGAGCATGCGAACACGAGCATGCGAACACGAGCATGCGAACACGCGCATGCGAACACGCGCATGCGAACACGCGCATGCGAACACGAGCATGCGAACACGAGCATGCGAACACGCGCATGCGAACACGCGCATGCGAACACGCGCATGCGAACACGCGCATGCGAACACGCGCATGCGAACACGCGCATGCGAACACGCGCATGCGAACACGCGCATGCGAACACGCGCATGCGAACACGCGCATGCGAACACGCGCATGCGAACACGCGCATGCGAACACGAGCATGCGAACACGAGCATGCGAACACGAGCATGCGAACACGAGCATGCGAACACGAGCATGCGAACACGCGCATGCGAACACGCGCATGCGAACACGCGCATGCGAACACGAGCATGCGAACACGAGCATGCGAACACGCGCATGCGAACACGCGCATGCGAACACGCGCATGCGAACACGCGCATGCGAACACGCGCATGCGAACACGCGCATGCGAACACGCGCATGCGAACACGCGCATGCGAACACGAGCATGCGAACACGAGCATGCGAACACGAGCATGCGAACACGAGCATGCGAACACGAGCATGCGAACACGAGCATGCGAACACGAGCATGCGAACACGAGCATGCGAACACGAGCATGCGAACACGAGCATGCGAACACGAGCATGCGAACACGAGCATGCGAACACGAGCATGCGAACACGAGCATGCGAACACGAGCATGCGAACACGAGCATGCGAACACGAGCATGCGAACACGAGCATGCGAACACGAGCATGCGAACACGAGCATGCGAACACGAGCATGCGAACACGCGCATGCGAACACGCGCATGCGAACACGCGCATGCGAACACGAGCATGCGAACACGAGCATGCGAACACGAGCATGCGAACACGAGCATGCGAACATGAGCATGCGAACACGAGCATGCGAACACGAGCATGCGAACACGAGCATGCGAACACGAGCATGCGAACACGAGCATGCGAACACGAGCATGCGAACACGAGCATGCGAACACGAGCATGCGAACACGAGCATGCGAACACGAGCATGCGAACACGAGCATGCGAACACGAGCATGCGAACACGAGCATGCGAACACGAGCATGCGAACACGAGCATGCGAACACGCGCATGCGAACACGAGCATGCGAACACGAGCATGCGAACACGAGCATGCGAACACGAGCATGCGAACACGAGCATGCGAACACGCGCATGCGAACACGAGCATGCGAACACGCGCATGCGAACACGAGCATGCGAACACGCGCATGCGAACACGCGCATGCGAACACGAGCATGCGAACACGAGCATGCGAACACGAGCATGCGAACACGAGCATGCGAACACGAGCATGCGAACACGAGCATGCGAACACGAGCATGCGAACACGAGCATGCGAACACGAGCATGCGAACACGAGCATGCGAACACGCATGCGAACACGAGCATGCGAACACGAGCATGCGAACACGAGCATGCGAACACGAGCATGCGAACACGAGCATGCGAACACGAGCATGCGAACACGAGCATGCGAACACGAGCATGCGAACACGAGCATGCGAACACGAGCATGCGAACACGAGCATGCGAACACGAGCATGCGAACACGAGCATGCGAACACGAGCATGCGAACACGCGCATGCGAACACGCGCATGCGAACACGAGCATGCGAACACGAGCATGCGAACACGAGCATGCGAACACGAGCATGCGAACACGAGCATGCGAACACGAGCATGCGAACACGAGCATGCGAACACGAGCATGCGAACACGAGCATGCGAACACGAGCATGCGAACACGAGCATGCGAACACGAGCATGCGAACACGAGCATGCGAACACGGGCATGCGAACACGGGCATGCGAACACGAGCATGCGAACACGAGCATGCGAACACGCGCATGCGAACACGAGCATGCGAACACGAGCATGCGAACACGAGCATGCGAACACGAGCATGCGAACACGCGCATGCGAACACGAGCATGCGAACACGCGCATGCGAACACGAGCATGCGAACACGCGCATGCGAACACGAGCATGCGAACACGAGCATGCGAACACGCGCATGCGAACACGAGCATGCGAACACGCGCATGCGAACACGAGCATGCGAACACGCGCATGCGAACACGAGCATGCGAACACGAGCATGCGAACACGCGCATGCGAACACGAGCATGCGAACACGCGCATGCGAACACGAGCATGCGAACACGCGCATGCGAACACGTGCATGCGAACACGAGCATGCGAACACGCGCATGCGAACACGAGCATGCGAACACGAGCATGCGAACACGCGCATGCGAACACGCGCATGCGAACACGAGCATGCGAACACGCGCATGCGAACACGCGCATGCGAACACGCGCATGTGTACATGTAGGCACGTGGGCACACGGAGGCATATGGGAACGTGGGCGTGTGAGAAGGAGTGGGCATACGAGGTGGGTGAGATTGGAGGGCGAGGAGGGCGAGGGCCAGTAGCGGGAGGACCCGCGGTAGGAGTCGGCTCGCAAGGCACAGTCGTTGAAGTTGAGGCACCACCCGCCACCCTGACATGGGAGATTGGGGAGTGGAGATAGAGATACGGGAGATGGGGAGGGGGAGATGAGGAAAGGGGAGATGAGACACGAGGCACAGTCGTTGAAGTTGAGACACCCACTCGCCGCCCTGACAGGGAGGGATTGAGGAGGGGGAGATGAGAAGCGGGAGATGGGAAGGGGGAGACGAGAAGCGGGAGATGGGAAGGGGGAGACGAGAAGCGGGAGATGGGAAGGGGGAGACGAGAAGCGGGAGATGGGAAGGGGGAGACGAGAAGCGGGAGATGGGAAGGGGGAGACGAGAAGTGGGAGATGGGAAGGGGGAGACGAGAAGCGGGAGATGGGAAGGGGGAGACGAGAAGCGGGAGATGGGAAGGGGGAGACGAGAAGTGGGAGATGGGAAGGGGGAGACGAGAAGCGGGAGATGGGAAGGGGGAGACGAGAAGTGGGAGATGGGAAGGGGGAGACGAGAAGCGGGAGATGGGGAGCGGAGAAACAGTGACATTCAGATGGATGGAAGCAGGAGCAGGTAAGGCGTCCCACATGTAATCGGTCCCCGTACCCAGTCCCTGGCAAACAGTAGATAGCCCAACTCACATGCAGGTAGACGAGCCATGAGTTGGAGCCATTGCCATAGCCCTGGCGGAAGTAGTAGGCTGGCGGGCTGCTCGCACACACTCGCACGCACACACGCACGCACACACACACGCACACACACACACACACACACACACACACACACACACACACACACACACACACACACACACACACACACACACACACACACACACACACAATGCACGCAATACATGCAATACATGCAATACATGCAGAGCACACAATGGGCACAATAGCCACGCGAAGAGAGCACACACACACACACACACAGACAACCCTCCCCCTCCCATCATCCCCCCTCACACGCACAAAAGATATACACACACACGCACAATATGCATTGAAGGTTTTATTGACGTGTGAAGCCATACAAATGCCACGCGAGCACAACCCGTCAGAGACGTACCTGCCATCCAGGCAGAACGAATTATTGCCTGCCACGTGGAACAGCTGAATCTTGGGTCTGATTGGTGGAGCGCCTGACGGCTTGCCTTTGCTGGGAGGTTTCGCTTCAGCAGGAGGTTTGGTATGCGCCGGCGGCTTCGTCTGATTGGCTGGCTTAGATTGGGTAGGAGGTTTGGTCTGTACTGGAGGTTTCGGAATGGTGGAAGGCTTGGGTTGGGTGGGCAGCCTGGTATGGGTGGGAGGCTTGGTAGTCTGGGACCCAGGTGTGGGTTTGGTTTGCGGGGGTTGTTTTGTATTTAGAGGTGGTTTGGTCCGGGGTGGTGGTTTGGTAGTGCCTGGTTTGGTAGCCGGCTGCTTGGCAGAGGGTTGCTTGCCCTGTGACGGCTTTTTGCCCTGTGAAGGCTGTTTGCTCTGCGACGGCTGTTTGCTCTGCGACGGCTGTTTGCTCTGCGACGGCTGTTTGCTCTGCGACGGCTGTTTGCTCTGCGACGGCTGTTTGCTCTGCGACGGCTGTTTGCTCTGTGACGGAATCTTCATAGGCGAGGGGGATCTGGTTGCCTTGTGTCGCGACGCTGACGTGGCTCCTCCAGGTTCATTCGCCTGCGAGCCGGGTTCGCTCTGCGCGGGTGTTCCGCCCTGCGCGGGTGTTCCGCCTTGCGCGGGTGTTCCGCCTTGCGCCGGCGGCTTCGTTCCCGCGGACGGTGCTCCCTTGCTCCACCTCTTCCCGCCCGATGGACTTGCCGCGGACGCGTTTGACTTGCCAGCGACCGGAACCTTTGGTGATGCAGAGGGAAGCTTCCCGCGGCTGCCATTCTTCGCGGGCAGCTTGTCAGAAGGCTTGGTCGAATTACTACTACTCGGGTCGGGCATTCTAGAACTTGAATTAGAGCTTGCATTACGGCTAGTAGCGGCGGGCTTGGTCGTATTGCGAGCCGGCACGAGAAGAGAAACCACCGCGTCTTTTTCTTGCTTCCCTGCCGCTGCACTCCCCTTGCTGTCTCCTGTCTGCGCCGCTGATGCCGAACCTCCTTTACTCCCTTCTTTACTCGAAGTCTTTCTCGCCGGTTTTTTCTTCGCTGCTTGTGCAGCTGTCGCATTCGCCCTCGCTTCAACTGTCGGCTGCCGAGTACTAGCCCCACTATTCCTACCAGTGTCGCGAGTAATTTTTTCACCCCTCTGCAAAAGGTCACGAGAGAAAGAGAGAGAGACGCGGTAGAGGCTCGGGTCAGTTCGCCGTTCCTCAACTGCCACCTCGACTCCGTAATTCCCCTCCGTCGATTCCAATCTCCATGGCCAATGCTGTCCACGTGGCGGCGACAGTGATCCGTTGGTGAGAGGACTTGAAATCCTGTACTTTGGCAGGTCCGTGTGAAGGGAGGCATGGGCGTGTGGCAGAACGGGTGGTCCCAGAAGTGTTAGGAGGAGGGGGAAGAGGAGGACGCGGCGGAAGGCCGGGGAATAGGATCGCTGTTTTGAGATACGATTGGAGGAAGTGCAGTGATTCCGCGGGCCAGAATCTTGGCCGTCCATGACGCGGTCAGTGAATGCTCGTATCAAGGTCTCTCTCTGTGTCTATTTCTCTGTCTCCTTCAGTAGTCCACTGCATTCCATTGTCTGTTTTCTCCCTTTCCGGCTACTCTACCATCTGCGCTTTGCTTGACAAATGTTGCCCACTCGTGGCGCCTTGCTTTCCATCTAAGGGAAGCCTGGCACTACGCGTTCTATGGGAAACCGACACGATAAAAAAGGAAACGTATTGCCGAGATTGAGGCGCGGAAGTGTGGGGTGCACAAAAGTGCACGTGACCCCGACGGAGCAGCACCTACTGATGAATGGAATGGAGGAGAGGTGAGATGAGATCACGAGGAAGTCAGATCTGTGAAATGCGATGAGGGGTTGACTTTGCCTTGTTGGAGCAGTCAAGGATGCGTGGTGTGGTGTGCCGAAATGTTGAAATGTTGGGCACAATTTCGATGAGATGCGATCCGGCCGTTCACGCGGCTCGACGTTTTTATTCATTTGGATGGGAAGCACCGCACCATACGAAACGCACGGGATGTCCGAGATGGCGCGAGAACGGTTACCCCTCAAGGACAGAACAATTGTGCCTGTTTACGCCAAACCCTGAGTACCTTGCCTAATGGTTTATGTTACACTTGAACCCTTCAAGAAAACATCGCATGCTGAGTCGGTATCGAGGATGATTTGCTACCGCGTCGCAGGTGGAAGACTTCCCCAGGTTATGTGGAAGCCTGCACGGAGAGGGTTGCATGAGCGACAGTGTCATGTGATTGGGGTTGTTGGATGAGCGACCCTGTCTCTCAGGTGATTGGTCTGGGAGTGGTCGCTCAAGACGGGCCAGCTTGCCCCAGACTCTCGCCACAAGCACCCGCTTGTTCCAGTCGCTCTGCGAAAGTGAAGATTTGCAGCCTGATAAATTGCAGTGGTAACCTCCGACTTCGCATATTTCCGAACCTGCACTTCCCGCCGGGACGTGCTTTTGGAACTTCCCATACCCCGAATCCTTCGCTTTCGGGGGTGACGACGACAGAGCAGATTGACGCAGCAACCTATGATAGCTGTGTGCGACGCTCTAGCGACGCAAATGGGAGATGTGACCCAGCCGGACCAAGGAGGCACCGCGCCTTGAGGCTCGGCGAGAGCGGTTGTGACGTGATAAACCCAAGGCTCGCACGAACCACTTCCAGCTTGGCGAACACCGAAGACCGTACCTACCGCCTAGCGCAACATCTTCCCTCAAGCTTGGCCCCCCAGTTTGGTTTCGCTGATTGAGCTCAGGGAATATTTCTGGTCATCATCACTTCACAGACGCAGGCCATTCTTCAATCAAGCATTTTGGTTTCTCAGTTCAGTTACGAAGGTCTCAATTCCTGCTAGTTTTAGTATAGGTAACGGACTGAGTTGAGGCATTGCGTCGGTGATTTCGGACTTAGAAAAAATGGCGAGATTCGCTCGGCTGGCTATCCTTCTGTCCTTGGTCTGCCTAGTTCTGTCGTCTACACGATGCCAAGCGCAAGATCCAGCGGCGAATGAGGACTACCCGCCAGAGCCGCAAAACGCGGGATTCGCCGGCGAGGGAGAGGGGGACTACCCAGCAAACGTGCCTGCAGACGGCGAGCAGGGCGTGCCCCAAGACCCCTTCAACCAGGACATTCCGCCTGAAGACATTCCCGCCGACCAGCCGCCAGCTGACGAAGCGCCGGTCGATGAGCCGCCGGCGGACGAGCCGCCTAAGACGGACGAGCAGATCGCGCAGGACATGGAGAACATGCCGGCCGGCACTGTTGTCGGCGGCGATGCTACCGAGCCGTCAGGTCTGACGCCCACAGAACAGGCGGGAACAGTGGAGGGCGACTTCTACTCCAAGTACGATTTCCAAGGGACGTACACGAAGATGCAGAGCGACGGGATTGGTCCCGAAGGCATCATCGGCATTGTTCTCGGTGAGTCCTCACAACCCGTAGCGAGCCGCTTTCGAGTTTGACGCAAAACTCAGGATGCACTCGGTGAGTGATTATAGTCTGTTGCGAACATCTTTGAACTCGTTTGATTCGGACCCTTCACATCGCCACCACGCCAGTCGCCTGGCTATCGGCCAGTTATCTTCGCATCAGCCATCGCTGCTCTTTACGTCATTATCAGATACTCATCCAACCAAAGTACATCGTTCGTTGTGAAATTTGTTATCCAAAGTACAAACGTCGCAATGTCATACAATCGTCATTCCGGTCGTGCGCGATGTACCCAGCTTTTTCTTGAGAGAAAGTGGAGGGACAGTTTACAATAAGGAGTAACAGAGGGTGGGGTGAGACGATAAAGGATGTTAAAGATTATTGTTGATTGACTCCCGCGCTGCGTGCTCCCCTTGCCCTTTTCCAGGAGTGACTTTCGGCATGGCGTTCTGCCTCTTGTGCGTCTGCATCTGCTGGATCCGACAGCGCAATATCCACCGCGCCAAATTCGGCTACACCGGGTACGTCGTGTAAATCCGTGTGAACGAGTGAAGAGCAGGGTGTAAACGTAGGTTGTATGTCGAATAATACTAGTGCCCGCAGTACAGTGCGTATTGTCCAGCCCAGAGCACGAACCATCTCGTGGACTTTTCGTTTAGGGTAGCATCTGATGGCATGGCATGTCACCACTGACCCGTTCGCATGACACCACTAACCATTTCGCATGACACCACTGACGCCACATGACTGGAGCTTTGGGTATGTGGGCTAGGCGCTTTGAAGGTGGAGCGCTAGCACTCTGTGCCTGGAATCAACAGTACGCTGTAACCGGATCGACGATTACAGAATCGAGTGGTTAGGTTGCGGATCCAGGGGACACATGGCAGAAGCGAGTGTCTGGGAGGCTGAAATGAGTGGTCAGATTGCGGTACTCCGTAGACAGAAGCAGCCTCGAGAGGATGCAATACGAATGGGCAGATAGTGACAGTTTGACATGGTTTTGTGTGCATGAGAGTGAGAGGTCTGCGTGTAAGCTGTCTTCGCAGTAGCTTGTTGAATTAACTCTTCTCCTTGCCTGTGCCTTTGTACCATTGCTTACCTCTCATGCAGGGCTGATGCTCCTGGTGGGCAGATTGAAATGTAAAGGGTTTACCCCCTTGTTCCTTTTAGACGTGAATCACTCTTAGCCTTAGGAACAGCAGCTGCTTTTCCCAGTTCAATAAAGTGGGATGCAAACTTATAAGGTAGTACTTGCCAATCAGTGGCTAGAATGCACAATGGTCTGTCCAGCTGCAATACCTTGCTGTGAACTCAGCCAGTTTTGCTACCTTGTTGCTTGTCTACTCAAGCCTGGGAATAGTCATGGGAACCAGCCTGCCTTAGGGCTATCATTTGAAGACAAATCCACCAGAATCCTGTTTGCACACCACATGTACAAACCCAGACAAGCTAACCACATGCGCTTTATGATGACAATCTGCATCTTTTCCTAAGATTACAGTAAGTGTCGTTGTCATCCCATCCATACCCGCTGCCTGCAAACCTGCAAACCGCACTACACACCCCCCAGATGGACATCCTGAACAAACCCCTGAAACAGTACTTTAGGCATTGCAATCGGACACGATATTTTCGAGCTCCGTGAAGACAATGCGCATCTTTCCGAGCGAGATGGGCTTGGTGCGCATCCATGCCCACTCCCTACACACCTCTGAACCGCACTGCACACCCCTGCACCAGAATCTTAAGCCTTGGGATCGGACACAATCTTTCCGAGAGTCATGAGCTCCGTGAAGACAATCCTCATCTTCTCCAGCGAGATGGGCTTGGTGATGACCCCGTCCATGCCGATGCTGAGGCAGCGGTCCTTGGTGGCCTGGTCCGTGTTGGCTGTCAGCGCCGCTATGCGCGGCCGCTCGTCGGGGTTCTTGATGCGGTCGATGACTCGCTTGGCCACCTCGTAGCCGTCCATGTCCGGCATCATCAGATCCTGGAGTAGCACCTGTTCGTGGGAGAGGGGAGGGGTACGGGGGGAGGGGGGTTTGGGAGGGAAAGGGTGGTGTTTGCAAGGAGATGACAGCAGTGAGACAGTGCTGGCAGTTGGAGGCACCGGCTCCTGGGTGGCGATGCTGAGGCAGCGGTCCTTGGTGGCCTGGTCCGTGTTGGCTGTCAGCGCCGCTATGCGCGGCCGCTCGTCGGGGTTCTTGATTCGGTCGATGACTCGCTTGGCCACCTCGTAGCCGTCCATATCCGGCATCATCAGATCCTGGAGCAGCACCTGTTGGTGGGGAGAGAGGGGGGGAGGGGGTAGAGGGGAAAGGGGTGTGGCAGAGAGAAAAATAGAGCAAGGGTGGACAAATCGCCTAGGCACCTCGTACCCGTCTATGTCCGGCATCATCATCACCTGGTGCTGGTAGGAGGGAGGGGTTGCGGAGGGAACGGATGGTGTTTGTAAGAATGTTACCACAGAGAACGAGATAACAAGAAAGTGATAGGAGGGGACAAGTAGGAATAAAGGAAGAGAGTAGGAAGTCAGAGAGAGAAGCATGGCTGAGCAGCTGAGCGTCCCGTCCCGCTTTCAAACGCCCTTCTCCCTAACACCCCTCGCCCACACCCTTCCCTGTGCTGTGCCCCTCACTCGCACTCTCTCGTAACCCCTGCCAGCTCACCTTAAAGCCGTGGCCTGGGCCGGCAAGAGCAGCAAGGCACTCGCGGCCCGACCCCACCACGGTGACCTCGCAGCCCAGACGTGTGACCATGCGCTTGGTCACCATGCGGTTCACACTGGGGGGGGATTGGGGGAAGGGGGGTAAAGGTGGGGAGAGAGAGGTGGGGAGATGGGGAAGAGGGAAAGGGAGAATGCGTTACTAGCATGCCAGCACCGAGCGACCCCACCACGGTGACTCACAGCACAAGCATGTGTCCATGCGCTTGGTCACCATGCGGTTCACACTGAGGGGCGAATGAGGGGATCGGGGGGGGTTAGTTGAGGAGTTGGCAAGGGGAAACATGAGGATGGGGGAAGAGGAAAGCTGACACATGCAGCGCAAGCACAGGTAAACGGATACGCTCACTCCCTCCCATCCACTCACTGGCAATTTCTGCACTTGTGCCCTGCAGGACCCCCGTTGCCCACTGGTTATCATCCCCCACGTTGCCTGTCATCCCCTCTACTCACTGGTTATCGTCACACACGAGCACTTTGAGCCCTGTGAAGTCCACAACCTTGGTCACCCCACCGGAGCCGCCAGCAGCCTGCTCTGGCAGTGAGGAGGCACCCGTGCAAGCTGCCCTATACCTCATGCCCATACACCCTCCCCTCCCCATGCACTCACTGGTTATCATCACACACGAGCACTTTGAGCCCTGTGAAGTCCACAGCCTTGGTGGCCCCACCGGCGCCCCCTGAAGCCTACTTCTGCCCCACTGGCCCCGCTTTGTTCACTGATGATTACCTTCCCCACACACATTGCATATCTATCACCCCCCCCACTCACTGGTTATCGTCGCACACGAGCACTTTGAGCCCTGTGAAGTCCACAGCCTTGGTGGCCCCACCAGCGCCGCCAGCAGCCTGCTTCTGCCCCGCGTTGCCCGCCTTGCTGCGGTCGTCGGCCTTCTCCGGCAGGCCCAGCCGCACCACAAACGTCACCGTCGTGCCCTTGCCTGGGCCCTCGCTCTCCACCCAAATATGGCCGCCCATCATGCTCACGAAGCTGGGTGTGTGGGAGAAGAGGGAAGAGGGAAAGGGGGAAAAAGAGGAGGCGGGAAGGGGGAACGAGGAGGCGGGAAGGGGGAAGGAGAGGGCGGGAAGGGGGAAGCGGGGAATGGGGGAGGGAGAAGAGGAATGGGTGCCCTGCCTTCTCTGGCAGCCCCAGGCGCACCACAAACGTCACCGTCGTGCCCTTGCCCGGGCCCTCGCTCTCCACCCAGATATGGCCGCCCATCATGCTCACGAAGCTGGGAGGGGGAGGGGGAAAAGGGAAGAGGCGAGGGGGAAGAGAAATGGGTGGCTATGGAGGGCATGCGGACATACGGGTATAAATGTCATCCCTTGCCCGCCCCCTCGCTCTCCACCCAGATGTGCCCCCCCATCATGCTCACGAAGCTGGGGGAAGGTGGGAGAGGGTGGGGGAATAGTATGGCAGGTCCAGGGGGATGAGAATTAAGAGAATGGCTCCTTGCCCGGCCCCTCGCTCTCCACCCAGATATGGCCGCCCATCATGCTCACGAAGCTGGGGGAAAAGGGTGGGGGAGATAGGTGGACAGCTTGTAAGAGGCGGGAATGGGATGGAATTCTGCATTTTGCCCTTGCCCAGACCTCAACCTCCACCCAGATGTGAGTTGTGCCTACCTCCCCACCTCCCCCCATCCTCACCTCACCGCTTGCAGATGGCGAGGCCTTGCCCGTTGCCAGTGGTGGTGGCATGGCGTCCGCCTGCACCATCTTGCTGCACACCTTCCTCTGGTCCTCCTGCCCGCCACTATCCGCCTACCTCCCCTGCATCTCACTCCTATCCCCACTCACCGCTTGCAAATGGCAAGGCCCAGCCCCGTGCCCCCATAGTTGCGAGTGGTGGTGGCGTCCGCCTGCACCATCTTGCTGCACACCTTCCTCTGGTCCTCCTGCCTCTCCTCTCCCTAACCTCTCTTCAACCCTCCCCCTCCCCCCCACGCCCGTGTCCTTCACAACTTGCTGCACACCTTCCTCTGATCCTCCTGCCCGCCACTAGCCCCTCCCTCCTTACCTCCCCACCATCTCACTCTCCGCTTGCAAATAGCAAGGCCCAGCCCCGTGCCGCCGTAGTTGCGAGTGGTGGTGGCGTCCGCCTGCACAACTTGCCACTGTGCATTACCACCACCACTACCCCCTCCTCTCCCTTCCCTGCCCACCGCTATCCCCCAGGCATCTCCGCCCCACACATTCTCACCGCTTGCAAATAGCAAGGCCCAGCCCGGTGCCGCCGTAGTTGCGCGTGGTGGTGGCGTCTGCCTGCACGAACTTGCTGAACAGCTTCCTCTGGTCCTCCTGCCTCAACCCCACTCCCGTGTCCTTCACCTGCTCTCGCTCGCCCAGGGGTGTGGAGGGAAACGGGATGGGGATGGGGATGGGGATGGAAAGGGACGCACGGATACAAGCTCCGCATGAGTGGGCAAACGCAGTTTCCTCTTGTCCTCCTGCCTCAGCCCCACTCCCGTGTCCTTCACCTGCTCGTGGCGATGAGACGCGAGGAGAAGAGAGTGGAGGAGAGGTGGCGGGGAAACAACAAGGATTCAAGTAACCCACAAGCGAGCAATAACAGTTTCCTCTTGTCCTCCTGCCTCAGCCCCACTCCCGTGTCCTTCACCTGCTCGCCATGAGGACAGGGGTGAGGATGGGAGAGAGAGGGGGGTGCAAGGATCCAAGTGACCCAGAAGTGAGCAACCAGAAGCAGCACTTGAAGCAACATTAACAGCGGCAGCAGCATACCCACCGGTCACCTGCACGCGGATATAGCCGTGCTTGTCCCCCAGCGCCACCACAGCAGCAAGCAGTGACATCGCAAGTACCGGCCCACTAAAGAGCCAACAGCCCCACCCACCCCACCGCCGCTCACCTGCACGCGGATGTAGTAATGCTTGTCCCCCAGCGCCACCACCGGCACAAACTTCGGAAAGTTCTTGTCGCGCTGAAACTCCGGCCGCTCCAGGCACACCGTAATCGTGATGCTGCCGTCCCTGGTGAACTTCACGGCATTGCCCACCACGTTCAGCGCCGTCTGCAGCAGCCTCCTCTCATCCCCGGCCGCAAACTCCGGCACGTCCGACTGCAGCCTTAGCGTCACTCCGAGTTTCTTCACCGACGCGACCGGTTTCACCAGCGACGCAACCTCCCGGAAGGTCCCGTGCAGGTTGAACGTGCGGACATCAAGCAGCATGCTACCGTCTTCCAGGTGAGAGAGGTCTAGCACGTCGTGAATGAGCGTGGCGAGGAGATTACTGGATTTCAGCACTGTGTCAACCATGCTCCGTTGCTCCGGGGTCAGTTCCGTCTCCTGGAGAAGAGTAGAGAGAGCGATGATGGCGTGCATGGGCGTGCGCATCTCGTGGTTCATCACAGCCAGGAAATCGTTTCGCGCGCGGATGGCTTTCTCGGCTTGAGCCCTTGCGTGGTCGAGAGCAACGTTCTGCTCCATGAGAAGATCCCGCGCGTGCATGGACTCTTCTAGAATCGCCGCGTGTGAGAGTGCCACGGCCACTTGATCCGCCACCACTTCGACCATTTCTAGCTCGTGCACGTGCCAGCGTCGCGCGCTGTCGGCTGGGAGCATGAGGACGAGCAGCGCGTAGCTCCTCTCCCGCGAGTCCTGCCAGTCGTTGCCGCCCGCGCCGCCCGCCCCGCCGCCCGTGAACGTGTTGGCGTGGAGCAGCGGGATGCGCACCGCGACGACGTCGCCGGCCACGTAGCGGTTGCCGCCCGCCCGCCCGCCGCCGCCCGGGATAGCGGTGACGGGCGAGTTGGGCGAGATGACGACGGCGCGGCTCGTGCTGAAGACCTGCTTCACTGTGGGGTGCGCGAGCGTGACGGTGACTGGCGGAGGCTTGGGCTGATGCAGCGTGTGAATGAGCTGTAGGTCTGATGGGGACCCTCCGCCGTCCTCGTCTTCGTCGCCTGGTGAAGGGGGGTGAGGGATGGAAGGAGGGCATGGCACGAAAAGGAAGTGGATTATGGAGGGAGGACGAGGGGAGGAGATGGTGGGAGGAGGAAGAAGAGACATGGTGGGAGGAGAGGGGGGAGACGATGATAGGAGAGAAAAAAGGGGGTGAGGGAAAGGATAGCAAGAGAAGTGAAAGCAGCGAGCGAGAGATGGTGACGATGCTGTAACAATGTGCGCCCACTCAATCCCATACCTGCCCTTTCACCTGGCAAACTCCTCCCACGAATGTCCACTGACCCGCTAGGTACTCTACCCCAGTTTCCAGCCCAATCTCCCCATACTCTCACCCGCCATAATACCCTACCCCTCTTCTCGGCCCTATCGCCGCCAAGTTCACCAAACACCAACTGCCACTCCCATAGCCCCAATCTCTCACAGGCCATCCAGAGCGCGCACTCGTCGATCTGCAGCGTGCGGCGCAGCTTTGAGACATCTGAAACCTCGCGCGCCCCAACTGCACAAGCAAGCAGAGCATCTCCTTGCACATCTCGTCTCGGTCTACACACGGCTCACCAAACACCAACTCCCACCCCACCTATCACTCCCACCCCCATCGCTCCTCCGCGCCCCCTGCACTCACCCGCGAGGTTAGCGGGCATCCAGAGCGCGCATTCGTCGAGCTGCAGCGTGCGACCCAGCTCCACGAGCGTCGTGTTGAGGATGGTCGGGCGGTCCAGCGACGATCGGATCTCGTGCGTCAGCATGCGCACGTGGCGCCCCGTCTCCTCCTGCGTGCGGATTAATCCCATCTCGCGATCCAGCTCGGCGGCTTTATTCTTCAAAAAGAGCTCGCGTGTCTTAACGGAGAGAAGGTCCGGAATGATGTGCACGAGCATGAGCGCCGTCGCGCACGACACGACGGCGGTGAGAACCTTCGCGATGGTCATCACGAAGGCGACGGTTCGCGTGTGTTCGCGAAAGGTCCACATGTTGATGAGATGCGTCGTGCCGCAGAGAACTATGAACGCGCCGAACTGGACCAGCACCCATCGGTACGGGAAGACGGCGGATTTTTTTACGAAGTAGATTAATTCGAGCGGGATGGAGAAGTAGGCGAGAGCTATGAAGAAGTCTGAGACGTACTGGTAGCGGACTAGCAGGTCGTCCGTCGCCCACTGCCCTCCGATACAGTCACAGTCGTCCATGACCTCGTTATTGCGCAATGCGAGATTGGGAAAGGTTAGTGCGGTGGTTACGGAGGGACGGAACCAGGAAGGAGTAGACGGTTACTCAGATTAAACGGTTACGCTCCTAACTGTATGTCGGGTCCTAAGGGAACGAACGAAACGGCGTTATACGCGAGCTAGGGTTCACGCTGTTCCATGGCTGTCTCCCAGAAACTTCATCCTATCATCCAATGATATTCATTGTTAGAGACAGACAACGAGAAAGTTACTAGTTTCGACGTCACAAATGATTCACGAGAAAGTCGACTGGGCGTCAGGAGACGGCAGTTACCACCACACCAGGACACGGTTAATAAGAGATGACGACGCGGGAAAGGAAAGAGAAGATTAGATAACGAGCAATTAGATGGGCAAGGAGAAACGACGGACTCAACGTGCCGCAAAGGCGATGGAAGAATGAACAAGTCGGGTGGTTGACCTAATTTACGGTTGGCGTTGTCAGATATACCGTGCCTGATGCTGTAGGAGATAACGTGTGCACAGACCTCACTTTCTCCTCGGTGACAACGGTTGAGATACGATGTTGTGCGGTATAGCGGTGCATTTTCGCGTTGGCGGGGTAGTGGAATGGGAGGAAAGGCGGCAATGCAAAAATGCAATTACGATTTGCGATAGTATTTCGCACAGACGAGTTTGTCGCCAACACCCTCCTCGATATTTCACCAACCATCGTCGCTCACAATGCTGCAAAATCGCCTGCCATTCAATTTGCCCCCATTTCCTGTCGCACCAGTCGCATCGCATGCCGTGAAGATTCTGGCGCTTTTGCAACATCTGCGCTCCTTTCTCAGTGAAATGCGATAGGAAGCTTGGTTATGGCTAATCTGGCCGCTCGAAACGTCACGGCTCTTTTCTCGAGGGCTGCTGTTACACCATGTCGAGCTCTTGCGCCGCTTTGCGCCAGTGGTCGGATGCGATCTAGGCGACGTTCGCTCCTGTTTCGCGATTCGTCGTGCGGCAGAACTCTCAGATGGTAATCCCATTGTCGCACAGTCGTCAGCGTGTTTTCCAAGTTCCAGTCTTTCAGTCGTTCCTTAATCGTCTTGCGATCCGTGCGATCTGCTTGGCTGTCGCAGAGCAGCACTTTGGCGAGCGATGTGGCAGAGCGAGACGGTGCGAGCGACGACGGCGCAAGCAAGCAGGTCGCAGAATCGCGGTGTTTGGACCTGCAAGGGATTGGGATGAGATTCGGCAACCGAGTCATTCTGGATGACGTGTCACTCCACGTTAACCCGCAAGAAATCGTAACTACCTCTTTTCCTGCCGTTCCGTCCCTTGGGGTCTCCTTCCGCCCCTCTTATCCCCCTCACACATGTTACCTCGTGAGGGTTCCACGTTAACATATGCTTCTGCTACTGTTATCCCCTCTTGCTGCGAATCCTCTCCAATCGCTCCTCTCTTCCCATCACAGCCATCACCATCCCAACCACCCCCCTCTCTCGTCCCCCGCCGCTACAGGTGGGTCTGCTGGGGCCCAACGGCGCGGGCAAGAGCACCACCTTCAGCGTCGCCGTCCCATTTGTCACCCATCCCAAATGGCACCATTACCATGCCAACAACCCCCCTCCCCTCTCCTATTTATTTCCCCTACAGGTGGGTCTGCTGGGTCCCAACGGCGCGGGCAAGAGCACCACCTTCAGCATCGCCGTCGGCCGCGAGACCCCGACAGCTGGCGCCGTGCGATTGGGCGGCGCTGACGTCACGGGGCTGCCGCTCGAGCGGCGGGCGCGGATGGGCGTGGCGTTTTTGGCGCAGGAGGCGAGCATCTTTCGGGGGCTCAGCGTGGCGGATAACATACGGCTCGTGCTGGAGGAGGGACCGCTACCATATCACCTGCATGACGCCCGGATAGAGGTGCGCATGTGCTTTTGAGTTGACCCAGCAGTCAGCTTGTTCCTGGCGCAGGAGGCGAGCATCTTCCACGGGCTCAGCGTGGCGGATAACATTCGCCTCGTGCTGGAGGAGGGACCGCTGCCACACCACCTGCATGACGCCCGGATTGAGGTGCGCACGTGCTTGCATGCATGCATTGATTTGTGGATGCATGCATTGATTTGTGCATGCATTGATCTGTGCCCATGGCATGGCCCTGCCATACCCACTGTGGCCCGTGCCTTGTTCTCTTCATTCACTCTCCCCTTCGCTGCCCTCATCTCTCCTCTCTCGTCCCTCAACCCCTCTCAACTGCTCCCCACCCTCCCCTCGCCCTCGCAGGAGCTGCTACGCAAGTTTGACCTGGTCCACGTGGCACACACTATGGGCCGCCACCTGTCCGGTGGGGAGAGGCGAAGAGCGGTACGTGCATCCGAATGTCATGTTGCATGTGCATGTGTTCATGCACTCGTGCATGCACGCTTACATGTGTCTTGGTTTGCCCATGCTGGACGAGACACTGACAGGCCTGCACTCATGTGGCGCAGCTGCTCTGCACACCACGCCATGCTGCTCCCCATCCTCTCACTCCCCCGTCCCTATCCTCCTCCCCCACCCCCACTGGACACACAGGAGGTCGCTAGAGCCCTGGCAGTAAAGGACAGCGAGTGCAACCCGCCGCGGTTACTCATGGTGGACGAGCCGTTCGCAGGCGTGGACCCGATAGGAGTGCAGCTGATGCAGAGCATGCTGTGTGCGCTGAGGGAGCAGGATGCCATGGCCATTCTCATCACGGATCACAATGTGGCGGAGACACTGGGCGTGTGCGACCGTGCGTATGTGATGCATGAGGGAAGGGTGGTGGCGTGTGGCACGCCGGAGGAGGTATTGGGGGACCCACTGGTGCAGAGGTTCTATCTGGGGCCGGCGTTTAGTCGGCAGGCAGTGCTGTGACGCTGGGGGTGTGTGACCGCGCATATGTGATGCATGAAGGGAGGGTGGTGGCGTGTGGCACGCCCGAGCAAGTGTTGGAGGACCCACTGGTGCAGAGGTTTTATCTGGGACCGGCATTTAGGCGGCAGGCAGCACTGTGATGGTAGTGATTTGCACAGTAGCCCTACCATAAGTTACTTACAACGTTGTAATAAGTTTCAGTCACTGGAGTGGAGTGTAAGACACGAAAAGCTTGTTGCACCGACCCAATACTTCAACTTGGCAGGCAATCGTCCCTGATAAGTCAAGCATCACACATCAACCCTTGCAGTGCAGAGTATAGTGGACAACATTGAGTATCAGGTGTGTTGCATTGATGTTTAGAAAGCACCCCACCCGCGCTGAGAAAAGTGTCCCCCTGCGCCTGCCATGGGAGTGTTGTCTGCAGACGATGCATCCTCCTCCCCCACATGCTCATCAAATCGCGACGCCGACACACCGCTGCCCCGCCCACTTCCATATGCAGAATCAAACCCCGCAGCAGAATCAAATCCTGCAGCGCCGCCCGAAGCCACCTCAGCGTAATCGTCTGGGCGGCCAAACCCCAGCCCTGACTGCTCAGAAGCTGAGTCTTCTGGATGCGCATGCGAGTCAAACTCACTCGAAGCTCGGAAGTTGGAGTCATACTGGCTGGAGGCTCGGAAGCCCGAGCCTGTGGCATCGAAATGATGGTCGAATCCCGAGGCAAAGTCCTGGGCGGCGAAGGCTGAGGGCTGGAAATCCATGGACTGTGATTGGTGAATGGAGAGGAATGGGATGGGATGCAGGAGACAAGAAGGGCAAGTGAAAAAAAAAAACCTTTGGGAATGGTACGCAGTGTATTTATAACTCGGAACAGACAGAGAAGGAGGCATAGAACGGGGTTGAGAGGGGCAGGTGAGAGGAGAGGGGTGAAGCAGTGGCAGAGGCATGATGTGAGGAGAAGCGCTGACCTGGGAGACAGAGGGCGAGTCCACCCCTGAGGCTGTGAACCCAAAGCGGTTGTCCCATGCTGATGGGCTGAGAGCACACAGGCGCAAGGGCAGGTGGGGCAGAGCATAGGAAGAAAGGTGCGGCTGATGGGAATGAAGGAGATGAGCAGTAAGGGAGAATACAAATCTGGATGGGCAAACAAAAGGATGTCCGTAGCTTCATCGCCATGAAATGAAAGCACCAGCTAATATCTTCCCAGTGATGTTACCTGTAGGGTATGCTAAACTTTTGCAGACAAGTGGGGGGCTGCCTTTTTAACTCAAGCATGTGGGAAACTCACCCTTGAGGCGTCGCAGGTTCCTCCTCCACAACATGGCCTCCTTCCTCCTCCTCCTCCTCCTCCTCACCCATCACCCCCCGCCCCCTCCCACTGCCTCTAGACCACCCCCCCAGCTGCCCAACCCCACTACTCTCCTCCCTCCCTTCCTCCTCTTCCTCCTCTCTCTCCCCATCCTCTTCCACCTCATCCCGCGCCCTCCTCGCCTCCTCCTCCTCCAGTAGGGCCCAAGCCGACACAGCACCGCCACCAGCACCACCAGCAGCACCCTCACCAGCAGCGCCGGCAGCGGCAGGAGCGGCAGCGGGGGGCGGGGCAGCAGCGGGGGCGAGGGACGGGGTGGAGGGGGTGACGGGGCCGAGGGGGATGAGGGGCGCTGGCTCGTCGTCGTCTCCCCCCAATAGGTCGTCCGTGCGCGATCGCACCACTGAGAAGCCTGCACAGGGGGGAGGAAGGTGGGGGCAGCAAGGGGGGCAAACAGGAGGGGTGGAGAGGGTGACGGGGCTGAGGGGGATGAGGGGCGCCGGCTCGTCGTGGTCCCCCCGCCAGCAAATCGTCCGTGCGCGATCGCAGCACTGAGAAGCCTGTGGAGGGGTGTATGAGAGGATGAGGAAGGGTGGATGGGGAGTGCGGGTTGGAAAGAGGTGGGTGGTTGTGAGCTCTGTGAGACCGGCTCGCCGTCGTCTGCCCCCAGCAGGTCGCACGTGCACGATCGCACCACTGCGAAGCCTGTGGAAAGAGGGCGCGGGAGATGTGGGGTTGGATTGGAGGGGGAAGGCAAGCAGGAGTCAGAACGTGGAGGCGAGCACCAGAGAGGGCTGCAGAGGACACAGAATGGAGAGCGGGTGTGACATGGGGGCGGTGGAGAAAGATGAAACATGGGGGCAGTGGAAAGTGGAAACATGGGGGCAGTGGAAAGTGGAAACATGGGGGCAGTGGAAAGTGGAAACATGGGGGCAGTGGAAAGTGGAAACATGGGGGCAGTGGAAAGTGGAAACATGGGGGCAGTGGAAAGTGGAAACATGGGGGCAGTGGAAAGTGGAAACATGGGGGCAGTGGAAAGTGGAAACATGGGGGCAGTGGAAAGTGGAAACATGGGGGCAGTGGAAAGTGGAAACATGGGGGCAGTGGAAAGTGGAAACATGGGGGCAGTGGAAAGTGGAAACATGGGGGCAGTGGAAAGTGGAAACATGGGGGCAGTGGAAAGTGGAAACATGGGGGCAGTGGAAAGTGGAAACATGGGGGCAGTGGAAAGTGGAAACATGGGGGCAGTGGAAAGTGGAAACATGGGGGCAGTGGAAAGTGGAAACATGGGGGCAGTGGAAAGTGGAAACATGGGGGCAGTGGAAAGTGGAAACATGGGGGCAGTGGAAAGTGGAAACATGGGGGCAGTGGAAAGTGGAAACATGGGGGCAGTGGAAAGTGGAAACATGGGGGCAGTGGAAAGTGGAAACATGGGGGCAGTGGAAAGTGGAAACATGGGGGCAGTGGAAAGTGGAAACATGGGGGCAGTGGAAAGTGGAAACATGGGGGCAGTGGAAAGTGGAAACATGGGGGCAGTGGAAAGTGGAAACATGGGGGCAGTGGAAAGTGGAAACATGGGGGCAGTGGAAAGTGGAAACATGGGGGCAGTGGAAAGTGGAAACATGGGGGCAGTGGAAAGTGGAAACATGGGGGCAGTGGAAAGTGGAAACATGGGGGCAGTGGAAAGTGGAAACATGGGGGCAGTGGAAAGTGGAAACATGGGGGCAGTGGAAAGTGGAAACATGGGGGCAGTGGAAAGTGGAAACATGGGGGCAGTGGAAAGTGGAAACATGGGGGCAGTGGAAAGTGGAAACATGGGGGCAGTGGAAAGTGGAAACATGGGGGCAGTGGAAAGTGGAAACATGGGGGCAGTGGAAAGTGGAAACATGGGGGCAGTGGAAAGTGGAAACATGGGGGCAGTGGAAAGTGGAAACATGGGGGCAGTGGAAAGTGGAAACATGGGGGCAGTGGAAAGTGGAAACATGGGGGCAGTGGAAAGTGGAAACATGGGGGCAGTGGAAAGTGGAAACATGGGGGCAGTGGAAAGTGGAAACATGGGGGCAGTGGAAAGTGGAAACATGGGGGCAGTGGAAAGTGGAAACATGGGGGCAGTGGAAAGTGGAAACATGGGGGCAGTGGAAAGTGGAAACATGGGGGCAGTGGAAAGTGGAAACATGGGGGCAGTGGAAAGTGGAAACATGGGGGCAGTGGAAAGTGGAAACATGGGGGCAGTGGAAAGTGGAAACATGGGGGCAGTGGAAAGTGGAAACATGGGGGCAGTGGAAAGTGGAAACATGGGGGCAGTGGAAAGTGGAAACATGGGGGCAGTGGAAAGTGGAAACATGGGGGCAGTGGAAAGTGGAAACATGGGGGCAGTGGAAAGTGGAAACATGGGGGCAGTGGAAAGTGGAAACATGGGGGCAGTGGAAAGTGGAAACATGGGGGCAGTGGAAAGTGGAAACATGGGGGCAGTGGAAAGTGGAAACATGGGGGCAGTGGAAAGTGGAAACATGGGGGCAGTGGAAAGTGGAAACATGGGGGCAGTGGAAAGTGGAAACATGGGGGCAGTGGAAAGTGGAAACATGGGGGCAGTGGAAAGTGGAAACATGGGGGCAGTGGAAAGTGGAAACATGGGGGCAGTGGAAAGTGGAAACATGGGGGCAGTGGAAAGTGGAAACATGGGGGCAGTGGAAAGTGGAAACATGGGGGCAGTGGAAAGTGGAAACATGGGGGCAGTGGAAAGTGGAAACATGGGGGCAGTGGAAAGTGGAAACATGGGGGCAGTGGAAAGTGGAAACATGGGGGCAGTGGAAAGTGGAAACATGGGGGCAGTGGAAAGTGGAAACATGGGGGCAGTGGAAAGTGGAAACATGGGGGCAGTGGAAAGTGGAAACATGGGGGCAGTGGAAAGTGGAAACATGGGGGCAGTGGAAAGTGGAAACATGGGGGCAGTGGAAAGTGGAAACATGGGGGCAGTGGAAAGTGGAAACATGGGGGCAGTGGAAAGTGGAAACATGGGGGCAGTGGAAAGTGGAAACATGGGGGCAGTGGAAAGTGGAAACATGGGGGCAGTGGAAAGTGGAAACATGGGGGCAGTGGAAAGTGGAAACATGGGGGCAGTGGAAAGTGGAAACATGGGGGCAGTGGAAAGTGGAAACATGGGGGCAGTGGAAAGTGGAAACATGGGGGCAGTGGAAAGTGGAAACATGGGGGCAGTGGAAAGTGGAAACATGGGGGCAGTGGAAAGTGGAAACATGGGGGCAGTGGAAAGTGGAAACATGGGGGCAGTGGAAAGTGGAAACATGGGGGCAGTGGAAAGTGGAAACATGGGGGCAGTGGAAAGTGGAAACATGGGGGCAGTGGAAAGTGGAAACATGGGGGCAGTGGAAAGTGGAAACATGGGGGCAGTGGAAAGTGGAAACATGGGGGCAGTGGAAAGTGGAAACATGGGGGCAGTGGAAAGTGGAAACATGGGGGCAGTGGAAAGTGGAAACATGGGGGCAGTGGAAAGTGGAAACATGGGGGCAGTGGAAAGTGGAAACATGGGGGCAGTGGAAAGTGGAAACATGGGGGCAGTGGAAAGTGGAAACATGGGGGCAGTGGAAAGTGGAAACATGGGGGCAGTGGAAAGTGGAAACATGGGGGCAGTGGAAAGTGGAAACATGGGGGCAGTGGAAAGTGGAAACATGGGGGCAGTGGAAAGTGGAAACATGGGGGCAGTGGAAAGTGGAAACATGGGGGCAGTGGAAAGTGGAAACATGGGGGCAGTGGAAAGTGGAAACATGGGGGCAGTGGAAAGTGGAAACATGGGGGCAGTGGAAAGTGGAAACATGGGGGCAGTGGAAAGTGGAAACATGGGGGCAGTGGAAAGTGGAAACATGGGGGCAGTGGAAAGTGGAAACATGGGGGCAGTGGAAAGTGGAAACATGGGGGCAGTGGAAAGTGGAAACATGGGGGCAGTGGAAAGTGGAAACATGGGGGCAGTGGAAAGTGGAAACATGGGGGCAGTGGAAAGTGGAAACATGGGGGCAGTGGAAAGTGGAAACATGGGGGCAGTGGAAAGTGGAAACATGGGGGCAGTGGAAAGTGGAAACATGGGGGCAGTGGAAAGTGGAAACATGGGGGCAGTGGAAAGTGGAAACATGGGGGCAGTGGAAAGTGGAAACATGGGGGCAGTGGAAAGTGGAAACATGGGGGCAGTGGAAAGTGGAAACATGGGGGCAGTGGAAAGTGGAAACATGGGGGCAGTGGAAAGTGGAAACATGGGGGCAGTGGAAAGTGGAAACATGGGGGCAGTGGAAAGTGGAAACATGGGGGCAGTGGAAAGTGGAAACATGGGGGCAGTGGAAAGTGGAAACATGGGGGCAGTGGAAAGTGGAAACATGGGGGCAGTGGAAAGTGGAAACATGGGGGCAGTGGAAAGTGGAAACATGGGGGCAGTGGAAAGTGGAAACATGGGGGCAGTGGAAAGTGGAAACATGGGGGCAGTGGAAAGTGGAAACATGGGGGCAGTGGAAAGTGGAAACATGGGGGCAGTGGAAAGTGGAAACATGGGGGCAGTGGAAAGTGGAAACATGGGGGCAGTGGAAAGTGGAAACATGGGGGCAGTGGAAAGTGGAAACATGGGGGCAGTGGAAAGTGGAAACATGGGGGCAGTGGAAAGTGGAAACATGGGGGCAGTGGAAAGTGGAAACATGGGGGCAGTGGAAAGTGGAAACATGGGGGCAGTGGAAAGTGGAAACATGGGGGCAGTGGAAAGTGGAAACATGGGGGCAGTGGAAAGTGGAAACATGGGGGCAGTGGAAAGTGGAAACATGGGGGCAGTGGAAAGTGGAAACATGGGGGCAGTGGAAAGTGGAAACATGGGGGCAGTGGAAAGTGGAAACATGGGGGCAGTGGAAAGTGGAAACATGGGGGCAGTGGAAAGTGGAAACATGGGGGCAGTGGAAAGTGGAAACATGGGGGCAGTGGAAAGTGGAAACATGGGGGCAGTGGAAAGTGGAAACATGGGGGCAGTGGAAAGTGGAAACATGGGGGCAGTGGAAAGTGGAAACATGGGGGCAGTGGAAAGTGGAAACATGGGGGCAGTGGAAAGTGGAAACATGGGGGCAGTGGAAAGTGGAAACATGGGGGCAGTGGAAAGTGGAAACATGGGGGCAGTGGAAAGTGGAAACATGGGGGCAGTGGAAAGTGGAAACATGGGGGCAGTGGAAAGTGGAAACATGGGGGCAGTGGAAAGTGGAAACATGGGGGCAGTGGAAAGTGGAAACATGGGGGCAGTGGAAAGTGGAAACATGGGGGCAGTGGAAAGTGGAAACATGGGGGCAGTGGAAAGTGGAAACATGGGGGCAGTGGAAAGTGGAAACATGGGGGCAGTGGAAAGTGGAAACATGGGGGCAGTGGAAAGTGGAAACATGGGGGCAGTGGAAAGTGGAAACATGGGGGCAGTGGAAAGTGGAAACATGGGGGCAGTGGAAAGTGGAAACATGGGGGCAGTGGAAAGTGGAAACATGGGGGCAGTGGAAAGTGGAAACATGGGGGCAGTGGAAAGTGGAAACATGGGGGCAGTGGAAAGTGGAAACATGGGGGCAGTGGAAAGTGGAAACATGGGGGCAGTGGAAAGTGGAAACATGGGGGCAGTGGAAAGTGGAAACATGGGGGCAGTGGAAAGTGGAAACATGGGGGCAGTGGAAAGTGGAAACATGGGGGCAGTGGAAAGTGGAAACATGGGGGCAGTGGAAAGTGGAAACATGGGGGCAGTGGAAAGTGGAAACATGGGGGCAGTGGAAAGTGGAAACATGGGGGCAGTGGAAAGTGGAAACATGGGGGCAGTGGAAAGTGGAAACATGGGGGCAGTGGAAAGTGGAAACATGGGGGCAGTGGAAAGTGGAAACATGGGGGCAGTGGAAAGTGGACATGCAGTGGAAAGTGGACATGCAGTGGCGAGGCGCAGCGGGGGGCACGCAGGCATGTGACACACACACCACCTTCCGCTCGCCCACCATTTGGCTTGGCACTCTGACCTCTTAGTGGTACAGAGCCCTGCATCACCCCCTCGCTCACCTCCATGTTGGTGTGACTACTTGGTCGATGACCCATGCTCACCTTGGTCCATGACCCATGCTCACCTTGGTCCATGAACTCGTCCCAGTCATCATCACAGTCCGCCATGTTCTCCTGTAGGGCCACGCGCCACGCTGCATACATCATGCGTCCACAACAACATGCATTCATGCATGGTGGCGTGTCCGGAGCAACATGCATGCATCCATGTGTAAGCAGTGCAGGCATACATGGCAGAACAGGAAGGCAAGCCAAGCAGAACATGCACGCAGAGGTGAGTAGATGAGGTGAACGACATCTGAAGAAACGGTATCCGTGCAGACGATGATTAAAAGGGGAAAAGAGAGCACAATGAGAAAGGCAGCAAGTGTGGGAGCGCGCACCATCAGGCCCGGAGGCAGCGCCGAGCAGCGGGCGCACTTTGAGGCCCAGGTCCTTGGCCTGCCTGTTCATGGCCCTCCGTGCGTCCTCCAGGTCCATGCCCAGCTTGTCCGCCCGGCCCTGGGGAGAGGGGGGCGAGGATTGACAGGGGTAGGGGAATGGAAAAGAGGGTGGTCACATGTGATTCAACAACCCCAAATCCTTGGCCTGCCTGTTCATGGCCCTCCGTGCGTCCTCCAGATCCATGCCCAGCTTGTCCGCGCGGCCCTGGCATGAGGCAGGAGGGGAGTCAGGACGCTCAGGAGGGTCACGGAGGAGATGAGCGAGGAGAGGAGTGGAGAGGAGAGGTGCCGCCTGCAGCGCACAAGGGCGTACATGCAGCAATAATTGCAGGGCCCAGCTGGCAGTGAGCAATGCACGCACCTGCAGCAGGTCGGAGGCGTCAGCGGTGGTGGTGGCACGGAATCGCGACACCACCTCCATCAGCTCTGCCTTGCGCTCCTGGTGGGGTGGGGTGGGGGGCAGCAGCACGTGGGGTGGCCCACAGGGTGTCACTGGGTGGCACATGGGAAGATAGATTGGGATGGAGCCACATGGCACGGTGGAGAAGAGACATGGATGATGAGAAGCACCAGCCGAAGCAGCAGCTGGCAGCAGTTCAACACTGAGAGCCACCCACCTGCAGCTCCTTGAGCACACTGTCCTCGTAGGCCAATCGTGACTTGACACCTGGCATGGACGCCTTGAAGCGCTCGTCGTAGCGCTTGCACAGCATGTCGTACTGCCATGCCACATCATGCCACACCAGACATACCACACCACACGATACCACACCAGACATACCACACCACACGATACCACACCAGACATACCACACCACACGATACCACACCAGAGGATACCACACCAGGGGTGCATGGGAGGTGGTGGAGGGTGGTAGGGGAATAATGACAGAAGAAATATGTCGATAGACCTTAAGGAGTGAAGGCTTCACAAGCTAAAGCAATGCCAACACTGGAACCATCGATGGCATATCATGGCTCAATTGAAGCGCTTGCTACTCACACGCCTCCCCCCACATGCTTCCCCAGCATACCTCCCCCTTCCCCTGGTCCCTCACACGCCTCCCCCCTCCCCTGGCCCATCACACGCCTCCCCCCTCCCCTGGCCCATCACACGCCTCCCCCCTCCCCTGGCCCATCACACGCCTCCCCCCTCCTCTTGCGACTCACATGTCTCTTCTCCGCTGCTACTTGCTCCGTGACGTCGTTCAAGCGGTTGTCACAGCGGCTCTTGAACATGATCTGCCAAGCACCCAGGGTACGGCAGTGTCACGCGCACATGCACAAAGGCAGGGGGACAATGGGATAGGCACACAGGTGCAGGGAAAAACAAAGAGGGACGTCTATAGATGCAACCTGCGTGCAAGCAATCTGACAGCAATACTGACGACTGCGATTGTAAGGCATATTCAGCAGGGAGAGTGATGGAACGGAATGCATTGCATGCATAAAGCGAGAGAAAGCGATGGGACAGATGGAACAGTGAATTGCATTGCATGCATGAAGCAAGAGCAAATGGCACGGTACGGCTACAGGGAGCTCACGATCTCCTGCATCTTAATGCGGTAGAAATCGATCTTGCGCCTGTAGTCCGCTATCTGTAGCTCCGTCTCCCACACCTGCCCACAGTTAGTAGCATGCACACGGGGGCAGTCATGCACACACGGGGCAGTCATGCACACACGCACCAGTCATGCACACACGCAGCAGTCATGCACACACGCAGCAGTCATGCACACACGCAGCAGTCATGCACACACGGGGCAGTCATGCACACACGGGGGCAGTCACGCACACACGGGGGCAGTCACGCACACAAATAAACCGTGTTAGAAGAGTGCTAGGGAGGGAGCGGGGCGGGGAGACGGGGTTGGGTTGGCCAACAAAATGAGACAGAATTTGACAAGCAGTCCAACGAGTTCACAGCCTCACATCGCCAAAACACAGGACTCGCCAATGTGTTCCTCCCTGTCATCCCCACCCCATCCCCCCCACCCCCACCACCCCCCCCCCCCCCCCCACTCCCCCCTCATCCTCATCCCTCTCAACCCTGCCTACTTTCTTCCCAATAACGACATCTCACTCACCTTCTTCCCAATCTCCTCCGCCTCCTTGTGCTTGCTCTCAAGCTTCTCCCGCTCCTCCGCATCCAGCTGAGCCACCTTCTCCGCCTCCAGGTCGGGCGCCTGCGAGCGGTACACGGGCCGTGACGCATCCACGTCTCCTGCTTCTGCTGGCACTGGCATCTGCCCCACGCCCGTCAGCTGATGTGGGTGTGTGTGGGATTGTGCGGTGGGGTTATGCAGGTGGGGTGCAGTGGGTATGGAATGCGTTGTGAAGAGTCCTGTTCTCGCTTTCCTCTGGCACCGGCATCTGCCCCACGCCGTCAGCTGAGCTGATGGGTGTGCGTGGGGTTGCGTGGTGGGGTTATGCAGGTGGGGTTGCGTGGTGGGGTTATGCAGGTGGGGTTGCGTGGTGGGGTTATGCAGGTGGGGTTGCGTGGTGGGGTTATGCAGGTGGGGTTGCGTGGTGGGGTTATGCAGGTGGGGTTGCGTGGTGGGGTTATGCAGGTGGGGTTGCGTGGTGGGCCACGGGCATGGGTTAGGTTGCTTGGGAGATGAAACATTTTAGGCTCTCATATCACAAGCTAAGGTTAAAACAAACAAACAAAAATATATCCAAATTGAGGAGAGAAGGAAATGAAGCAAATCAGGATGCAGAGGGTGGGAAGGGGCGAGGGATGGGAGGGAGGACGCGAGGGAGGGAAGGAGGGTGGGGTGGGACCATTATGGAGGAGAAAAAGAAAGCGAAAGGCATGAAATGGGCATAAGAAAAGGATTGGAAGGGGATTATTGACGCACCACTACTGTTGGTCGCTGTTGCTGCTGCTGCTGCTGCTGCTCGGGTGTGCCACTCACTGCAGGCACGATACGGGAGATGGTGGTTGAAAGGATGATTCGCAGGGGGAACCGCGGATGAGGCAAGCAATGCACAAGAGCGCACCCAAAACCTACAGTGATCCAAACAGTGTCAAGGCACTACTACTAGCAGCTGTCCTATGCAGATCCAAAATAGCATACACTCGTATGGAGCGTTGCACGAACATGTTCAGGCCTACAAGCACACGCGCACAGCAAGGCCTCACATTACCCCATGCATGCCCCTTGCCCCTCCCCCCCCCACGCACCTGGCTGGTGTCTCCAAGCAGTAACTGCTGGTGCACCAGCCCCACCTGCTGCACCCCCTCCTCCCTCCCCTCCCGGCCCAGCAGCAGCAGCAGCAGTAGGGCCGGCTGCGCTGGCTGACACAGCGGCTGAAGCAGCAGCAGGCGCAGAAGACGCAGCAGCAGGGGGTGGCACCTGCTCATCCAAGTGAATGCCCTGGGGCAGGGTGGGCGGCAGCTGTCGGCCCGCCTTCACATGGTTGATGAGGTACAGAGCGGTGCAGAGCTCTCGCAGGGTGAGCATGCCGTCCTTGTCCTGGTCTGCCATGTCCCACACCCGCTTCAGCACGTCTGGTAGGCGGGTGGGAAGAGGGAGGAGGAGAGGGGAGCGGAATGGCAGAGTGATGGAGTCAGATGCCAAAGGGGAAGAGGTGACAGGGAGACAAGGGAAACAACGAGGAGTGGAGACAAGATAAGGAGCAAAATGGGAGGGGCGGAGGCAGTGGGTGGCAGAGGTAAGGGGGTAGTGGGGTGGGAAAGAGCCGGCCGGGAGGAGAGCTCACCGATGGGGACCTTGTAGCTCATCAGCAGCTTCCTCGCCTGCTCTCCTGTGATCTTCCCATCTCTATCCGTGTCCACCGCACTAAACACCTGTGCACAGCGCTGCACCTCTGCGACTGTGAGCCGGGGCCATGGCTGAGGGTCACCTGGAACCATCACATACCCCCCTCCTGCTGGCCCCCCTGCTGCTGCCGCTGCCCCCCCTGCTGTTGCTGCTGCCATCCCAGCAGCGACAACAGCACCAGAAGCAGCAGCCGCAGGCACGATGGCTTGGCTTGCGAACTGCCCTGTTCCTGCCGCTCCTGCTACTGCTGCTGGGGCTGGGGTTGTGCCTGGGGGTTGCTTGGGCACCATGGCGTTTGAAACACCTCCTATAAGGAACGCATTCAGGGACGCCTTTGCGATGTCGTCTGCTGTCCGTTTCACCTTCCCTCCTGCTCCGTCCGATGTTGCTGCTGCACCTGCTGCTCCTGTGCTCAATCCACCAACACCCTTCTTGTCTGCGTCCTGTACTGGTGCTGCTGCCTGCGTACCCGCATCTGCAGCTCCTGAACCTGCTGCTGTGGGCTCGGACGCAGCAGGAGCTGCAGGAGCAGGAGCCGGAGCAGGGGCAGGAGGAGGCTGCGCAGTAGAGGACATGCTTTGGTCAGCAGCAGCAGGGCCGGCAGTGGTAGGGGCAGAAGGGGCAGCAGAGGCGGACGTGGCAACAGCAGGTGCAGGCCCTTGGAATGGTTTCTCCTCCCCTGCCGCCTGCTGCTGCTGTTGTGGTGGGAAAGCCTGTTGCTGCTGTAGCTGCTGCTGCTGCTGCAACTGCTGTTGTTGCTGTTGCTGTTGCAACTGCTGCTGCTGCTGTTGTTGTTGCTGCTGCAATTGCTGCTGCTGTTGCTGCAACTGATCCTGCTGCTGCTTAGCAGCCATCTGCTGCTGCAGCTGAATCGTCCCCATCTGCGCTTGCTGCTGCTGCTGCTGCAGCGACCCTGGCACCTCCCGCCTCACAGGCGCACTGGTAGGCTGCACGGACTTAGACTTGACATCAAACGAACCAAACTCAGCAAATACGTCCGACAGAGCGCCAGGCTGCTTCGGCTTCAGCCCTGCCGCTGCCGCTGCTGCTGTCAGCCCTCCCGAACCTAATCCTGCGCTGGCGGAGCCTACGCTGAGGCCAGAGGGGAAGGAGGAGAGAGGTTGTGCGACAGCAACAGTGCCTGGTCCCATCCCGGGACGAGTGGGAGTAGGCGACGGGCGGCGGGGCTGCTGGGGTGCTGCTGCTGCAGCAGCAGCAGGTGTTGCAGCAGCGGCAGCAGCAGGAGCTGCAACAGCGGCAGCAGCGGACGGAGCAGGGGCCGGACCTCGAGCAGCAGGGGGGGCAGAAGCACCACCCGCAGGAGCACCAGCGGCAGGAGACGGAGCAGTGGGAGCAGCGGCTCCAGCGATGCGCGGAGGAGGAATCTGCGAGGCGGCAGGGCCGTTGAGCGCGGCACGCACGAGGTCAGGGGTGAGGTCGCGGCCCGACTGCGCTACAGTGACGAGGCGCAGCGCGTTGAAGAACTCGGGGCGCGTGAGGGAGCCAGCCTGACGCACGTCCGAGTACTGCCACACCTGCAGGGATTGTGAGACAGACAGGGGGTAGTGAGTGGCAAGGGTGGTGGAGAGGAAGACGAACTTTGAGCCATGTTCAGATTCGGGTGAGGGAGCTCGCCTGACGCACGTCCAAGTACTGCCACCTGTAGAGGGGCGGTTGCGGTTACAAACAAGGGGTTGCGTTAAGAGTGGCAGATTGCGGACAGGGAGTGGTGGTGAGGGTGGCAGATGACAGACCAGGGAGTAGTGTTAAGGGAGGTAGGGTGGAGAATGGACTCTGAGTCACGTTCAGATTCGGGTGAACGCGCCAGCCTGACGCAAACCCGAGTATTGTCACAGTTGCATAGGCGCGACGGTACGGATAGACGAGAGAGTACGATGGCAGCGGGAACGGGTGTCGTGGTGAATGACAATACGTGAGAAGTGGTGGATGGCGGATGACGGAGTGGGGTAGAGACAGGGATGCATGACAAAGAATGGCTGATATGAGCCCTCGAGAAGGACCGTTTGCATGCTCGCACGCTATCGCAAGCGATGCGACGCTGTCGCACACGATACGAGACTACCGCACACGAAAGAGATGTTATTTGGACGAATGGGAACAGGACGAGGGCACCGCCAGAGGTTGTGCCACGGTGATGCAGTTTTTTCAGAGTTAATGCCGTAAAGTGTTCGCTGGACGTGCCTTTGAGAGAGTCATCTGAGGAAGGCCGGATCGTCGAAAGAAGGTCACAGCCTCCGCCCCGCTAATGACTCCGTCGCCATTCGTGTCCGCCGCTCGGAAATAACTCTCGAAGGCATCCATCGTGGATACCACCGGTTTCAGGTACGGATTATGGCAGCGGAAAAGGCGTGTCAATGGCTAGTTATGGCTACCATAGAGTGGTATTGAAACCAGGACCTATCTACAGATCAGGAAGCATGCGATGCGAAGTGCCAGGAGGAGTCTGATGAACAGATCACCTTGATTTTCCAGCATCTCCGTTATTGATCGCAGTACTACCCAAACGCAACTCACATAATCTCCTACATTGCCTTCACTACTAAACGTTGAAAAAACCCATTATGGGAACCGACGTAAATCAGGTCAGCATGTGTTTGTGCAGCCAAAAACTGCTCTCCTACACCACCAGAATATTCCCCAAGAAAATAGAAAGCGTTTTAGGGATCACGCACATCCGGTTGTAACTAGCTAGCAGAAGTAGCTGTTGGGCTGAGTGCCCCTTAGGATCTTTGGTAGGGTTAAACTCTGGGTAGAGTGATGTAGTAGCGGAAGCGTTTAAATGAAGTCCTTGAACCACCTTGCGCTGGTATGTGAGGGCAAAGTAAGTTGATTAAAACAAGCAAGTACAAAGGTTTATATAAGAGTACAAAGAATACGAAGAGATATAATTAAACTGTTTTACTGTTGCGGTTCGATACAGTGCGACTCGGGCAACTGCTCAATGTCGAGTCAGTTGTGTGTCCTTGCTGTCGCGCTGCATTTGTCAAGTCAAAGGTCGCTGACCTTTGACTTTCGCGTAACCTCCAGCGGTTACTTCAACCTCCGAGGGTTGACTCGCTGGTGCCTCGATATGCTCTGCTTCGCTTGTGCCTTGGTGTTTCGACACGACAGAGGCGCTTAAGATTGTTTGTTCCCAACACTCCCCTTCGCTTCTGGAGTGTCGCTGCTGGTGACGTGGCTTTGTCCAGTCAGCAGCATGCAGTACTCGAACTTCTGTTTTCCGAGCTTCTTGGTCAAGTAGTCAGCTGCCATCTCGGACGTGGGACAGTAGGATAGTTCAAGTCTCCCCTTCTCAATCTCGTCTTTCACGAAGAAATATCGCAGAGCGATATGCTTCGTTCTGTTCGCGAATCCATTTTTGTTGGCGATGCGAATTGCAGATTGGTTGTCGCAGAGCAGAGTGAAGTTGGGTAACTCGGCTAACTTCGCTTCTTCCAGCAGCTCGCGAAGATAGAGTCCTTCCTTGGTGGCTGAGCAGAGTGCAATATATTCTGCTTCAGCTGACGAGAGGGCAATTAATTCCTGCTTGCTCGATTGCCAGGAGATCGGTCCGATAGGTTCGAGGCGGTAGATGTAGCCGGTGCGGGAGCGCCTGTTGTCGGAGTCGCCAGCGTGATCAGCGTCGACGTAGCCGATTAATTTAGTCGGTGTAGTTGTGTTCTTGTAGTAAGTTAGGCCGATCGTTGAGGTACTGACGAAGTAGTGGAGAGCGCGGTCGAGCTCCGCCAGGTGTTCTGCTTCAGGCTTCTTGAGGTAGGTGGCGAGCTGGCTTGCGGAGTATGAGAGGTCGGGGCGGCAGGTGACAGCTGCGAAGAGAAGGCATCCTAGCTTTCTCTGGTAGTCGCGTATCCCGGCGGATTTGAGTAGAGAGGATCCTTCCTTGTGGTTTCCTGTCGCGTAGCGGTAGGGCGTAGAGATGGTGGTAGGTGTGAGCGCGAAGCGTTTGGCGATGGTGTCGGCGTACTTAGCGGCGTTGAGGTAGATCGCGCCTTCTTCTTCCCGAATGTTCAAGCCGAGGTACTGTGTGACGGTAGAGGAGACCGTGAGTGTGAGGTCCCTCTGTAGCTCCCCTTCGAACCAGGTGGTGATGTCGTCAGTGGAGCCGATGTAGAGTAGGTCGTCTACGTAGACGATCAGCAGAATGTAGTCGGTGTCTTTAGTGAGTCGGTACATTCCTTGGTCGTGAGGTAGTTGGCGGAATCCGATGCGAATGAGGCGAGCGTGTAGGTACTGTTGCCATAGCCGCGGAGCTTGCTTGATCCCGTAAAGTGATTTCAGCAGTTGACAGACTTGGTTAGGTTCCCCGTTGGTACCGTGTGGGAGCTCGACGAAGATTTCCACGTCGACAGGTGCGTAGAGGAACGCGTTGGCGACATCGATTTGCCGTAGCTTCCTTTTCTTCATGGCGGCGATCGCGAGGAGGATTCGAAGTGAGGTATGTCGGCTAACCAGGGGGAATGTCTCGGTGAAGTCCCGTCCGTGCTCCTGATCGAATCCACGCACAACCCAGCGTGCTTTGAACTTCACAATTGTGCCGTCTGCTTTTGTTTTAACGCGGAAGACCCATTTCCCGGTGAGAATGGTCTTGTTCTTTGCCACGCTGATGGGGACAACTTTCCAGGTGTTCCGTTCCTCCAGCGCCTTTAACTCTCTGTCCATGGCTTCACGCCATTTTTCCCTGTGTTCCCCCCCCAGAGCCTGCTGAACCGTCGCAGGCTCCTTAGGAAGAGTGTTGCCGTGGACTGCGGTGACGAGTCCGAGAATCTGCAGTCCAGTCTGTGAGTAGCGGGGAAGAGTTGCATCCTCGGGATAAGCTGCTTCATCTCCCGCTTCTGGATCAGGTATGAAATTCGGTCCTACTCGTTCTGCTTCGTTGGTGTTGACTGTCGCAGGTGTTACGTAACCGTTGTCGGCGAAGTAGTAGAAGGTTTCGGCGTTGACACTTTCGCGAGGGTTATCTTCGTCCATGGGGACGTCGACGGAGCAGAACGGAAGGGGTCCAGCTTCTTCTGATGCGTTGGCCACATTCTGCTCGTCCCAGTCAGCTTCGTCTGCTGCCGAGGCGAAGGCTCAGTCACCACGAAAACCACCTGTGGGATCTTGGTCCTCTTGCAGGTTGGCAAGGTATGTCTGGAGCGTGAGTCGTTCGTAGAAAATGACGTCGCGTGCTGCTACTTTTTCCTTGGAGTGGACGTCAAAGATTTTCCACGCGTTGTAGTTCTTTTCGATGCCGAGGTGTAGTCCCCACTGTGCGCGTTGTGAAAATCGGCCCGCTCGTGCTGCTGGGGGTCGGTACTGTACCATGCATCCGAACACTCGTAACATTTTTGTGCTGCCCTGTTTTCCTGTCCACAGCAGATGCGGTGATGCGTTGTTCGGTAGTGATGAAGATGAGAGCAAGTTGTGCAGCATGACAGCGTGGTCCATCGCGTCAGGCCACTGGTGGTTGGGTAGCCGCATGCCACGCAACAGTTTGCGCATGCTGTTCGGCAGAGTCCTGTTCATTCTTTCTGCTACACCTTGCTGCTGATGGGCGTAGGGAAGAGAGAGGAGCTGCTTGATTCCCCTTTCCGCCAGGTACTGCTTGAATCGCTGAGAGGTGTATTCTCCTCCTCCGTCAGACTGGAAGCTTTTCAGCTTTACGCCCGACTCTCATTCTGCTACTGGTAGCCAAGCAGCGAATGCTTCGAGGACCATGTCGCGGCTGGGTAGGTTTAGATGCCAGACGTAACGGGTGGCGGCGTCGATGAAGGTGATTGTGTAGTTGTATATTACTTGTCCTGGTTCCCGATTGTACAGGATGTCGCTATACACCTTTTCGAGTGGTGCGTACGCGGGTGTGCTCGGGTTGTGATGAGGAGTGAACGGCCGATGTGGTAAGTCGGCTTCGGGGCAGGTAAGACATGTTCCTCGTGCCCGTTGAAGTTCTCTGCCGTCGAGTAGTAGTAACGAGTCCTTGTCAAGGACTCCTGCTCTTATTGTGTTGTTTAACACAGTGTTGCTTGGGTGTCCCATGCGTGCGTGCCAGATGTCTTCGGAGGCGCGGTGTCCGGGTGAGCGTCGATACGCGTCGGAGTTGGAGTAGAAGCTGGCGGTGAAGTTTGCGCTTCTATGGACTTCCCGTTGAGCCGGATTCAGCTGCTGTGCGGGTGTTGGTGGTGCTTCGTCAACGAGGAGTGGTGTCGTTGTTGCTGCTACTGTTGTTGTTCCTGCTACTGCCGATGATGTCTCTGCTGCTGCCGATGATGTCTCTGCTGCTGCCGATGTTGTCTCTGCTGCTGCCGATGTTGTCTCTGCTGCTGCCGATGTTGTCTCTGCTGCTGCCGATGTTGTCTCTGCTGCTGCTGATGTTGTCTCTGTTGCTGCCGATGTTGTCTCTGCTGCTGCCGAATGTTGTATTGTTACTAACTCACGTGTTCGTTCTGCTTCAGGAATGGTATGTGAATACCAAAAGCCTTCCGGACTGAAGTCGGGGTCGAGATCCGGCGGGTGCGTCCAAGATGTGAAGGTGACGATCCCGTCACTGTCTGCGGTGCCCAGGTCTGGGACGAAATCGAGAACGAAGACATTGTTCTTCAGGACCGCCTTTCCGATGTAGAGGCCGCCCTTCCCGTGGTACAGCTTGAACTCCTGGGTGGTACTGTCGGCTTCCAGATGTATGCCTTTCGCCATCAACTGACTGACGCTCAGTAAGTTGTAGCCAAGTCCTTCTGCTATTAGGACTTTGGACATTTGCAGTATGCCATTCGTCTCTCGTGACTGAAGTTGCACTACTCCTTGTCGTCGTGTGCGCAGGTTCTTATTATTGGCGACAGTGATGACGACTTCTCGTTGAAGTTGGTGCTCACGTTGAACGAAACGTCCTGAAGAGCACATATGTTGTCCGCAGCAACTGTCCAAGAACCATGTATCCTTCCCGGACGGCTCGCTTTGAGCGATGGCGGCGTACGTCGGGTTCGGTTGAAGTGACTCGCGGCGAGGCGTGCTGTTGTCGAGTTGTTCTTCTGGTGAGTAATATGGTGGTGACTCAGTTACGCAGGAGTCACTCAGCCTTGCCATGCAGCTGACGATGTTTCTTGTTCCTTTCGCAGGTTGTCCCGTCGATGTTGTTGAGACTTGTACTGAAGTTGTCGGATTTGCTTGCGTTGAGGCGACTTGACTGCTTGAAGGGCGAAGTTGGCGTTGCGGCGACGTTGACTGTTGTCGATTCGGGCAGTGCGTACGAGGATGCCATGAAGTCTTGCAGAGGTGGCAGAACGGAGGTACGATTTTCGGTCGATTGTTGTTGTTGTTGTGGCGCCGTTGAGTGTGAAACGCGAATTCGGGCACTGATACCTTTCTCTTGTGTCGTTCTTCTTGCAGGTCCATGTCTTGCTGCTCGGCGTGGATTTCGGCGCAAAGTGCTGCTTCAGAAATTTTCCCGTGGGCTCGTAGTATGGCGCGAGTGGAGCGCCAGTGAGGACCAAGACCGCCGATGACAACCGTGACGAAGGCGTCCTCTGAAATCGATCCTCCACATCGAATAAGCTTGTCGCGCAGCTCGCGGCAGCGACTGATATACGCCATTCCCTTCTCGCCTGGTTTCATTTCGATTGTTGTCAGCTGCGCCATTAACCGACTTTGGTTTACGCTGTCTGTTGCTTGATACAGGCTCTTCAAGTGATTGTACGCGAGCTCCGCGGAGTTGCCGTAGCCTCGGTAAGACCGTATGTTTTGTTGTTGAGTTGGAGTGATGTTCCTCAGTAGTATCGTGTACGCCATCATCGATTGATAGGTGTACTGCTGCTTCTCATACTGTGTGCCGTTTGTTGGGTATGGCAGGGACCCGTCGAAGAAGCCAAGGATTTGCGCTCCTTCCATCATCAGCTCGAATTCGAACGACCAGGTAAAGAAATCCTTCCCGTCGAAGGGTTTTGTCGTTTGCAGTTTTAGAACGTGCGCGAACTGCGACTGAACTTGTAGTGCGTCCAGCGTTCTCTCTTGTCCCGGTGCAGGTTGTGGTTGTGGCATGAAGCTGACGGAGCCGCGCTGGGGCTCGTACGGAGCGAAGGTAGGTTGCTGTTGTTGATTCCCGCGTGCGTAGGATGAGCCATCGAGACTCATGGGCGTCACATTGTTGTTGTTGTTGTTGCTGTTGTTTGATTGCGCAGGTGCTCCTTGCTGATGCTGCTCGTAGAAGGACATGAAGGAGAAGAACTTCTCCATCATGCTTGGATCGAAGCCCGCGCCTTGGTTTGCGGGTGTTTCAGTAGACCCAGCTGCCGGTCTCGTTGTTGTGCCTTCCTCTGTCTGTAGGCCAGAGGCAGGAGGTGGAGTAGGAGTAGTACCAGGAGAGCCGTTGGAGGAGCTCCTCTCTTTTCTGGTAGACATGTCTCTTGGTGTATTAGGTGTTAAGGAGAAATAATTTTAACCCTAACCAGCTCTCATACCATGTTGGGCTGAGTGCCCCTTAGGATCTTTGGTAGGGTTAAACTCTGGGTAGAGTGATGTAGTAGCGGAAGCGTTTAAATGAAGTCCTTGAACCACCTTGCGCTGGTATGTGAGGGCAAAGTAAGTTGATTAAAACAAGCAAGTACAAAGGTTTATATAAGAGTACAAAGAATACGAAGAGATATAATTAAACTGTTTTACTGTTGCGGTTCGATACAGTGCGACTCGGGCAACTGCTCAATGTCGAGTCAGTTGTGTGTCCTTGCTGTCGCGCTGCATTTGTCAAGTCAAAGGTCGCTGACCTTTGACTTTCGCGTAACCTCCAGCGGTTACTTCAACCTCCGAGGGTTGACTCGCTGGTGCCTCGATATGCTCTGCTTCGCTTGTGCCTTGGTGTTTCGACACGACAGAGGCGCTTAAGATTGTTTGTTCCCAACAGTAGCCATAGTCAGGTTTTGTGCCAACTAAGATAAGAAATGCTGCATTTATCGCACTCCTTGCTTCAAAGAGAACTCAATAAAGAGCGCAACACATCTCAGCCACACCAAATCGTTCTCTAGATTGCTCGCACCGCTTGTGGCCCTTTTCCGTGCAAGTGCTCCTACATATTTTACTTCTGACGGCCACCTGCCTAGATCCGCTCTTCTATCCAGGAATTCTTGAAAGCTACCTGCGTGGCTTCACGCATGCAGGAGGCGAGCACGAGTTTGCTGGCACTGCCACCTGTGATTGCCGATCAGCAGCTAGACTGAGAGGAGAGCTACCATGACTTAGAGGGGGCAGAGTGAAACGTATAGTGGCTTACCACCAGTTCCCGCTGTAGATTTTAACGCCTTTCGCTCACGTGAATATCGCCATGCGTCAGGCTACCACCGCCACGTGCAGGCTTTTGAGAAAAGGAAGCGTGCATTCCTTGATCCGGTGGGATTTGAAGGACTCCTGACGTGTCATTCGAATGGATTCTTTCTTGCCCTTTGGAGACCCAAGAGACCTAGGTAGTGCCCCTGAGTTAAGAGAAACACAGATGCCAATCAGGCTTTCATGAGTCAGATTCGTCCCATCGAGATGCTCGCGACAATTGCAGAAGATCAAGGACGCCCGCCCGAGAATCAAAGTCTCTGGAGGACACAGCAGCAATGGCAAGAGAGAGCAGTGTCGATTCTACGGGCTCCTACTCAACTGGTGGCTGTTGTCGCTGCTTACATACCAAAGCCGGCCGCCCAGTTGTAGGCTTCAGTGAATGAGTTCATCGATTGAGTGATGGCCATCACCTCGAGCTTGTTTCGGTGAGCCAGGGTGACGTTTGCCGTGTCTGTCCCACCTTAAGCAACCTGGTGGCGGTGGCTGTCGATTACAATGGGAGGCCCAGCTAGCACAGGTTGTCATATCGTGAAGCAACATTTTATTTCCGTTGCGCATCTCCGCTTAGCCATTCCGAGGACTTCTTCTCCACCTCCTTTTCAAATCTCGGACCATTCTGGTGGCTGCCCAGTATTACAGCAGAAGCTAGAAGTTTCTGCTCATTGTAAATGGACTTTGACCAGCTTAACCTGACGTTAGGCTCTCCCTACACGCCAACATCTACCGATTCCGCAAAGTTTCCGATGGCATCCGTTCAGGAGTCACTCAGCAGTATGCCTGACCTGGTTCCTGCAATGCCAAGGTCGAGCTTAACATATGAACCGGCGAGCAAGAGATTGAAGCTTGATTTGGGGAAGACGGATGCAATTGGAGGAGCTACAAAGTAAGGGAGTTGTCCTTTGAAATGCTACTGTGGTTTGGTTTGAAACTTTTTCACTCATGTCCATCAAACGTATCCTCTGCAGGGTGACACTTACTCCAGAGAACTCATTGGCGCCAGTGACTCCTCCTCAGAGTACGGAATTTGAAGTGGATCAGACGAAGAAGCACAGGTTCTCGGGAGTGTCTTCTGATCCAAGCGGCAGATGGGAAGCCTACCTCTACAACTCCAGGCGAAAAATGTACACCTCTGTCTTTACACGCTGTGATTTGTTGGTTTTTCTCCATCATTCAACAACTTGGCATGTCGTTTGCAGATATCTTGGAAATTGGGACGACGAGAAGGACGCAGCAAGGGCTCATGACAGAGCTGCGATTTCAATTTTTGGGAGGCAATGCACAACAATCAACCTCCCCCTTTCAGGTATAGACTTTTCCACAATGTAAATTTATGGGCTGTGTCTTTTTGGTAGACCTTATTAGCCCTTTTAACAGAGCATATCTGAAGTGTAATTCGCAGAATATGGGGACGAGGTTCCAGTTTTGGAGATGCTACCAGCTGAGCAAGTCATTTTCTCTCTCAGGGCGGAGGCGAAGCACAGGCGCAGACTTAGCAAGCTTGCTAACAAGAAGGAATCACCTCGAGGGAACCAGAATGGTACTTGAACTGAGATTTGGATGTTTGAGGATTCTTATGTAACTGGTCTAAAAGCCCGTCATTGTTCGTATGCAGGTTTGCATGCAACTTGTGCGGTTAATGGTAAGTCACCATCTGTCAATGGAGGTTCTCCATGGCACTTCCTTCCATGTGACAATGGGAGTAACTCAAGCTTCATTTTCAACTCGAGCATTCCGTCCTTCAAGCTGCCAGGAACTCAACTGCAAGCAGTCGACAGTGCTGGTCACCAGGCGCAAACACCCTCAGTGCAGCTGCAAAAGGGGTCACGTGTCCTTGTTGCCCCTCCGCAGCCTCTCCTTGTTGGGACAGAAGGCAAGGCCACACCGCGCCATGCGAAGAAGAGGCGCATGCAGAATGGGCTGCACGATATGGGGAGTCTGCACATGCCACATGAGTCCTACATGGAGGTAAGAAATTGACTATTTGCAGAGGACTAGTTTTTGATCTACACAGAATCTGATATTAGTTGTGCCTGTGTTTTTCTCCAGGGCTGTGAAGTGCAAGAGAAACATAATGTCAGAGACGGTTCTGTTTTAGCCTGCTTTTCTGGGAGTATGGTACACCCAAGGTTGATTCAGCAGCATGCCCTGATTTACAGGCCAACTGCTCACTTGGCAACATCACAACCAGGTATGTCTTTTCTGATTGCTTCATTTGTGTTTCCTTGTTGGCCAATACGATTTTAAATTTCACCAAAAGGTTTTGCTGTTCAGGGCTTTGGGCATTGGACGACAAGGCATTGAAGTGCCATGGCGCAACACATGTTCCTGTATGTTCCAGCCTACTACAGAGCACTATTTCACTGTCTTGACATGGATATTGAAATAATTGCTTTCTTCATTCTATCCAGGTACCTGATCATTGCAAACGAGGATCCTCTGGATCGGAGGTGCAACAGCCAGCATTCTCTCACAATGCAAGAAGCCCCTTCAAGCGTGTGGAAAGGAAGCCTATCACCAGCTCATGCCTACTTTCTCTGGGTGGATTTTTTTAGCAAATGATCCACTGAATTTGCAGTACCGCTACCCTGGATTCAAGCTTTTATGTCCGCTATTCAGGATGGCAGCTGAGGAGGTGTGGAGTAGGCAGCAGCAACTGCTCGGGCTCGTGCCTCCAGTTCTTTCAAGTACTCTCCCAGTATTCTCTGCTCGTATGAGCCGCTTTCCTGCAGGTGAAGAGTCGTTGCAGTTGAAAGGCAATTAGACGGATGGACGGATGGGAGCATTGAAGTTGCAGTTGAAGAAAGGTCAGAGCAGTGTCTACTTACAGTGCGCATGAAGAGTCTCTCTGCCCTCTTCTCGAGGGCGGTATACAAATCAGCTTCTGGAAGACTTCCACCTCCACAAGTGAGGCGGGTTTGAAGAAGAGAGTCCCAAGTCTCTTCAGGAGCTGCAAGCATGTTTTTTCAATTGTGTCAGCCATTCTTTCAAGTAGCTGCTGTGCAATGTAGCTGCTTATGCTTTGTATGGTTTGTCTCTTCAAAAACATTCTTTTCACACCTTGTATCAGTGCTTCCAGAAACTTCTCAGCCTCATCAATGGTACCATTACCTGCACAGATATGGGAGAGGACAGGTAAACATTGCACAGGCTTAAATACTGTAAGAAAAATTAAACATTATACACGACTTCAACGTGTACAAGGAGTACATACGGCGAGTTGCATAGCTCCTTCGACCTAGACGAGCTGAGGCGTACAACTGAAGGACCTTCTGCAACATGGCCACAAGCCCAGGCTTATCTGTGGCCTCTGTAGCCTGCACAATAGAACACAGCAACAGCCTGTGTGAAACTTTCTTACATGAATAAACTACCAGGGAAAAGGACTGGGCACATGTATTGTTGGAAATACCTGTCTCAATTGAGCTGACACTGAGGCAAGAAACTTCTCATCAATGCGGCCATCCTCATCCCATTGCTCGACTTCCTGAAAATTGGCAGAACAGAGAACAAGGGTGTTCCACGTGGGTAAAAACTGGTTGCATAGAAGTGCCTGCAAATGCCACCAGAAGTCTCCATATTACCAGGAGCTCCAGTCTGTACAGAGGTGGTATGAGAATTACAAACCTGTCGCAGCTTGGCCAAAACCTCCCCTGAAGGAGGCCAAGAGATTTCTTCATTGTCGTCTCCAAGCTGTCTAAGCATGGATGCCAATGCATCACTGGTGCTGTCCATGTTTTCCTGAAACAATATGTAGGCAGGGTTTGAAGTGACAAAAAATTCTAATCTTACAAAAGAAGGTAGCATGTATGCTGAAAAGTGGCACGATATTTTCCATACACAGATGCAGTGAATAATTGACATCTTACATGCGTTTTCTTGACCACCTTTTCCACCATTTCCATCACATTCCGGGCCAGCTCCTCAAAATCCCTCTATGGAGCACGCACACAGGCACACAGAGTCGGTGTTCAGAAAAAATGGGTGAGAGAGATCATGGATAAAGCGGTAATTATGATGTGAGAGCTTAGCATCCATTCTGCATACCCTGTCATCCACCGAGGAGCTTGACTCGGCCCGTGTGACCAGTCGAAGCCAAAACTTCTGATCAAAGGCAAGCACGTTTTCAGCCACCAGAAGGGGCAGCTGAAACATGGCAAAACAATGCGGTACAAGGAGTGGGAGCGTCAGCCTGGGTTAGAATTGATATCCACGAAATCGGTTAGGGACCCAAAACAACTGAAAGGAGGTTGCAGCTTGCAAGTTTTCCGTGCGTTGTTGGGAAAACAGTGAAACTCGCCAAGCCAGCGAAGTTCCAAGGTGAACGACTGATTATGTACCCAACAAGCAGGGGAGTCGGACCTCATTATCGCCTGCGCTTCTGAGCTGATCAATGAACTTATCAAGCTCCATCGTTGACTTAAGGGATTTCTCCGCATCCTTCGTGTCTCCTTTGCCCTTACCACCACCCGGCTTCCCAAACCCTGTAGCAGCAACCACACACACTCCCTTTCCGACACAGATTGCTGCTGCTCCAGCTGTTGACGTGCCTCGCATTGAGAAGGACGCACCACACAATGACGTGGATTTGAGGCTCTTCATGCTGCATTGGTGGGCAGCTGGCCTGGAAGACGCAATGCCGACAGAAGGATAAACGCGACGCGATCGTGAATGAGAATGGCACGATAAGAGCTCAATTCATCGACGCAGTACGGTGTAAATGGACTCGTTAGCTACGTGTAAGAGAAGTCCGTTGATTGCTACCTCGGACGAGCAACGAAAGAGGCTCTGGGACAGACAGTCAGACCGATCGTCGCTCCTGCAGCCATTTCGAGCACTGACGTCGCCATGCCAGTTGAAATGCGCCAAGCGCCAGCGCCCAAAAACGGAAGAACGGAATGACGAACACAGGAAGGGAAGAGGTCGCGAAGTCGAAACCCAACGGCCCTTCTTAGCTGAAGCCGAAACCGCTGAGATGGGTTCTCCCTTGATTATCGAGGGACTGGGTTGAGAATGTGTGGCCAGGCATCTGTTTGAAGCAAAAACAATTTCTGATGTGGTGTTTCGAACCTGTACGCGATAAAGATCGGTCCTGCTCTTCCGAGAATGTTGTGCTTCAATGTGTCAATCTGCCTTGCATTTTCGAGGGTGCCAGTCCATCAGGACCATGTCGTTCCACAGTTAATTTTATTTCCCTGGGTCACAAGTAACTATCGCGTCTTTTGGTACCAGTTCCATGTCAAGCTCTCTTTCACTTCTTCTTCCGGCTTCATCCTCCTCCAGCGTCCTCGTGTTTTCTTCTTGTCACGCGCACCCGCGCAACCCTTCCATCATGCCCACGTTTGCGCTTTCCCTTCAAAAGCCGCTCTCCCTTGGCTCACGATTTGCTGTCCCTTTGGCTCCACGAAATACTCAGCGTTTCCGCTTCAGACCCTTGTCCGAAGAGTCTTCGTTATTCTCTCGTCGAAACCTCGTTGGCGCTGCCGCAACTGGCGCAGGCGCATCTCTCCTTGTGCTCGCTAATCGCTCGCGGCCGTTCGGTGGTGGTGGTGGTAAGCTGTGCGCATCCTTGTTGAGCACATACCATTTCTCAAAGAGCAGAATATTGAAACATTACATTTACGAGGCCTACTCACGGCACCTACCGTGGCTGTTTATTCCGTATTTCCAGGACTAGAAAACATTGAGGGCCGTTCATACTATGTCGTCCAAAGGGGTGACTCGCTATCCGCTATTTCTCGCTCCTTCGGGTCTTCAGTGGATGTGATTGCACAGGTAAGGAACTCCTGAGGGCAAGTTTTGAGCGTTTCTCGCCATACCACTTTTGCACCTCATGCCAGCCCATTGTTTTCTCGACCTGCATTCTTCTTTTCAGGCTAACAACCTGCGGTCTGATACTATCCATCAAGGACAGACACTGTGGATTCCTCGCATGTACACTATTCAGCAGGTAATTGTGAATTTATGTTCGTTCACCTCAAGATGGGAAACACCATGTATGCGTTTGAGTGATTCACGTGTTGTACTTTGCAGGGTGACACTCTTTATGGCATTGCAAGAAGGTACTATACTACAGTGGCAGCGATATTGGAAATCAACAACATTGAAGACCCAAACGTGATAAAGGCTGGTGGGTGCAGTCAAAGTTTCTTATGCTTTTGCAGAGTGCTGCTTTATTCAACTGACGGATTGACCATTGTATACCTTCTGTGCAGATGATGTGATCCTCATCCCATAAGTTCAACCAAAACAAGACAACAGCTGGCCACGTGCTGGTCAAAACACCATGGGCACATCCAAACCAATCTCTCAGAGGAAGGCATGGCCCCATGATAGATGAGAAGTGATGCAAGAAGTGTCACATGTGCAGCTGTACGTACAAGCATGATATTGGGGTCCCCATTAATCTGACAACTACCAGTAGTACAGTGCAGGAGTCAGATGTTGCATGAAAAGCCAGAAGTTACCATACTAATACCGTAATCTCCCGGATAGTAGACCCTAGGGTCTTATGTAAAATTCATAAAAAAATAGGGGGGGGGGTCTTGTCAACGGCACAAGATTGTTTAGTACCCGGGTCTTATTAAATTTGCTGCGATCAGAAGTTGATCGTGGCCTAGGATCTACTCAGGAAGGTTCGCACACAGAGAAGTGATGTTGGTGGGCCCTTGACCTCAATAGCAGAGTGAATGTAAAATGCTTTGAGATGATTTAAAACATGCAAATACAGCAAATATAAATATGAGTACAGGGGAGATGAAACGACCTAGCTAGCCATGTACTCTAAGGGGTACATTCCCTTAATTCAAATACATTCCCAACCGTGCGGCGCGAACAGTTACGAAACTGTTCCCGCCGAAACCATCCTGCCTGCAGCTGCCTGATGCTGTCTGCTCCGACGGTCCAGATGCGTCCCAACTGTCTGACGCTTCGAGTCGATTCCAACCGTCTGACGCTTCGCGTTCATTCGCGATACTGCGTGCTTCTCTTTGATGCGGTGAGGAGTGCACAGTAATATTCAAGTATTACTATTCGTAACACCCCCCTTCACTCCTGGCCGTAGCTCGACTTGACCTGCTTGACCACGCCGCTGAGTTCGGAGCAGTGCTGATACTGTTGGCGTGGCAGTCGCTTCGTGGGGAAGTCTGCTGCCATGTCACCGGTCGGGCAGTAGGTCAAGTTGACCTTGCCCTTGTCCACCTCATCCTTCACGAAGAAGTACCGCAGTGCAATGTGCTTGGTGCGGTTGACGAAACCAGGTTTGTTCGCGATGCGAATCGCGCTCTGGTTGTCGCAGTGAAGGCGAAATGTGGGCGAAGCTGGAATTTTC